TTCATGATGAGCATGTCTCAGACTATGGAGACAGAGGAGGACCTGCTGACATGTCTCCACATAAAGTTCTACCACCCTCTGCAGATCTCTAAAGACCTTTATGGTTTACTCCCAGTGGGGACCAGGAGGAGACACTCAGCGGATGATCCAGTCAGACTGGGCCGGGACACCCAGTCCTGCTCCTACTCCCTGGTTGACCCGCGGGTGTCCCGCAAACAGCTGGCCCTTATCGCCTACCGTCTGCCCCAGAACCCAGACCTGCTGTTCTCCATCCAGAACCTGAGCCAGAGAGGGAGACTTTGTGTGAACAGCTCAGCTCTGGGATTCCTGGAGAGGATGGATCTCCCCGACAAGGCTCTGATCCGGTTTGGGGAATATGAGATGCTGATCCTGCGTGAGTCTGGGGAGGCCAAAGCCAGCTTTGAGGTGGACTTTGATGTGCTGGCGGTGCCTCCATCCAGAGAGACGTGCAGCTGTGGTCCTGTTTCCACACCAGTGATGGACACGGGTTTAATGAACCACATCACAGCTGAGATCAGAGGACTTGGACCCCAAGAGACCGATGAGACCCTGATCTGTCACTCATAACAAAGAATAACTTCTACAGTTTCATTCCAAAACTGAACTTGAGGACAGAAACGTGTGTATTTTCATTCCATTTAGGTTCAGACAAGCTGACATCCATCTTCTGTCATGGCTGCATCAAGCAAAAAATCTGCGTCTTGTTTTCCTAACAGTTTCTCTTCGTACCGACTGACATTTTAGATAGTTTTCAATAAAAAGTCTCAAAGAAACCCTGATCAGACAATTTTATTTCATTAAAAAGAAAAGGTTTTACTCATGAAGTCCGACGTGATCCCATTCTGATCCTTGGCAGCTGTACTTTTAATCTGACACATCTTGTCCTGGTCCATATTCAATAATCCAGCTCCAGTTTCTGTTTCAAAACATCCAGACTGGTCTGATGATGTGAGCTGAGCAGGGTATGACGTCTGCTCAGAACTTCTTTAGTAGATGTCTGACAGTCCAAAAAGTCATTGAGAAGAGTCCAAGTTGGGCACAGGGGAAAACATTTAGAGGAAGTCACCCCCTACCAGATTCTTACTCAACTCCCACTTCCTGTTTGAAAAATGCAACAAATGCTGTTGCCTAGCAAACCGAGAGGGCGGAGCCGCTAACAAATACACACACACACAGGCTCACAACGACATTGTGACATCATATGGTACCAGCTAACATTCTAGGGTACCTCTTAGCCAATAGCGATGGCAGATTTAAATTCAAATGCAGTGCAGTTTTTACCTGACAACGGCACAACACTGATAGTTTTAGGCAGAAAATTTCAATTTTACCTAAAATGCACTAAAGTGCAAAACTATTGACTACACGTGTCTGCAGCACGATTAGACACACATTTATATAGTTTATCAGAAAAAAGTTGATTTGGGGGTGACTTGCTCTTTAAGGGATGCTGTTGGATAAGTGATGATTAACCAACCACTGAACAGCTTTCGATGCACGCCCACCAACCATATAGAATAGGATAGATTTCTCTTACAGTAGAAACATAGAAACTAGTATATTATCTCTAGATGCAGAAAAGGCTTTTGATAGAGTTAACTGGAAGTTCTTATTTGCAACTTTACATAAATTTGGTTTTGGGAACTTCATCATAAACTGGCTACAAACATTATACAGTTCACCAACAGCACGTGTCAGGACGAACGACCAAATATCAGCTAGCTTCTGTCTTCAGAGGGGGACCAGGCAGGGATGCCCACTCTCCCCCTCACTGTTTGCCATTTTTATCGAACCACTAGCAGCAGCAATTAGGCAAACAACAGGTATTAAAGGGATAGAGTGTAAGAAAATAGAACATAAGATCAGTCTTTATGCAGATGATGTTTTACTCTTCCTCCGGAATTCTCAATCGTCTCTCTCCCATTCAACAGAACTGATAAACTCTTTTTCATAAGTTTCAGATTACTCAATAAACTGGCTAAAATCCACAGTTCTACCAATTAATTTCTCTTTTGTCAGTTTATTTAATACACAATTGGAGTCAGGGAATATCACATACCTGGGAATTAATGCCTCTCCCAAGTTAGCAGATCTAACCAAACTAAACTACATCCCACTTTTAAAGAAAGTGGAAGATGATCTTGCAAGATGGAAATCCTTACCAATATCACTCATGGGGAGAGTTGTTACAATTAAAATGATGGTCTTACCCAGAATAAATTACTTATTCTCAATGATCCCAAACAAGCCACCAGCTGACTGGTTTAAATCTCTGGACTCCTCAATTACTAAATTCCTTTGGCAGGATAAACCTCCACGAATTAGCTTAAAAACGCTTCAGAAGACCAAAGACAGAGGAGGACTGGATCTACCCAACTTTTATTATTATTTCTTAGCCAACAGGCTGCAATATATACCAAGATGGTTGCAAGATAACCCACTAGATGAGACCTGGTTAGATATAGAACAGACACTTTGCAATACCATAGAGCTTTCAGACTTACCATTTATTAGCTCAAGCATAAGAAAACATGAAGGCTTCAAAAGTATTAGTATCAGCACCTCTCTGAAAGCATGGTAGGAGTATCTTAAAATGACAGAGTCTTCACTAGTACCATGCAGACGCACACCTATCTGGAACAATCCTGACATTTTGCAAAAGAATAAAATGATGAACCTTCCGGACTGGAAAAATAAAGGAATCCTATACCTGGAACACATATATGTTGGTCTGCAGCTGGTTGATGCGCCGTACCGGCAGCTCCCATTGGAGGCTTCAGGATCCCGCCCAACCCTGCCTCCCCATCGGTCTCTGATGTTGTATTTGTGCCGTTTGTGCTTCTATGTCAAGTTTTTTTTGTATGTTACTCCCCGCTGGGTCTAACTCTGCTATGCCTTATTTTTACCTTACCCCCAATTATCCTCATGTAACTCCCTTTTCATCTATCTATTAAGGTAGCGCGACTCATGTTGCGAATGACCGCAGTCACCAATTCTTGTCATGCGTCTTACCCTTGTATGTCTGATCTCTGAATTGTGTGCACTGAAACTCAATTTCGTTTCTCTGTATGTCCTGCACATGTGGTAGAAATGACAATATAAACGACTTTGTGACTTCATCCCATTTAATAGAATAGTCTCCCAATTTGGAATAGATAAGAATAGCTTTTTACAGGGTATCTGCAGGTTTAAGGGAGCCAAATTTAAGACTTTTTAAGGCCATTTTGACCAAATTTAAGCAATTTTTTTTACTTTAAGCTATAATTTCCAGCTATCGCCTGGAACCGGTGCTAACCATGTTGCCAACGTGGGATAAGCTATCCAGTTACCATTAAACTTTCACATGCCCATGGCGCAAGCTCCCACTAGCTTAACCAGCTAATGTGCTCATTTAAAATAGGCCCCTTTCACAACCAACTGAATGTGTACGGTTCCACTTACGCCAACATCATACACAAAAAATGCTGAACACTAACTAGAAATTTATGAAATTTTTTATAAATAGGACCTTTGGAAACTGTATTTAAGGATTATTTGTCATTTTTAAGGATTTTTAAGGCCTTAAATTTGAAAAAGCAAATTTAAGACTTTTTAAGACTTTTTAAGGACCCGTGGATACCCTGTTTTAAGAATACCACCAAATTAAATCTGTAGGCAAAGAAAATTTTAAGCTCAATAAAGTAGAATTAAAAACACCACCAAGGGTATTAGACTTCTATAATCTCAAACCCCCAAACTACTGTCTAAAGTATATAAGACACTGTCCAAAATAGACGATAGAATAGCAATCCCTATTGAAAAATGGGAGGTGGATCTATCAGTTAGCTTTGACCAGGACTTCTGGTCTCAAACTTGTTTAAAAACTTTTAAAATGATCAGACACTCCAATTTACAATTAATTCAGTACAAAATTCTACACAGAGTACACTATACAGGTCATCGGATGTTCAGGATGGGGTTTGTGTCGTCTGACACCTGTACACACTGCACAAACAACGTTCCTGACAATTACATTCATGCACTGTGGTCCTGTCCACCTGTCCAGGAATTTTGGGGTAGAGTATGTGAAGACCTGTCAAAGTGTCTGAAATGTCATATCCCAACTTCCCCCTCTCTTTGTCTACTGGGAAACCTGGACGATGTCCCGATTGCAACATCTTTGGTTCACGTGGTTCTGACTGCCATATGCATCGCTAAGAAAACTATCCTCTCAAATTGGAAAAATAGAGAAAGTCTCTACATTAACCAGTATAGAAATATTTTGTTAGACCATATAACACTTGATATGGCCTCTGCTTCCACTTCAAATCAATCTCTCTGGGCTCCTTTGATCGGTTCCATCACACAGCGATGACGGGGGACCATTGATATTGTCCTGCGGGATTGTGATCCGGGTGAGGGGGTGGAGGGTCTGAGTTTGGAGTATCTGGATGTTCCCTGGTGGTGGGTTCACTGGGGGTGTCTGGGACTGGGGGGCCATTGCCCCTCTCTGGAGGTGCTTGGGTTGCCTCGGGGGGGGGGGGCTACTGGCAGTTGTGAGTGGGGCCCCTTGGAGGTCTTGGCGGTGGCAATGGGTCACTGCCCGGCAGCTGCATTGCCCCTGGGTGGGTCTGGGTGGGGGCCTGGGGGTGGCCGGCCCTGGGGGGGGATCTGGGCGGGGCCTTGGGGGTCGGGTCCTGACATGTATGCTGCCAGGAAGAAGGCAGGAACAGGCAGCAGTGCCTGACTCGGGTTCAGGGGCCTCGGGTAGACCTTGGCTGCTCTGCTGTTCCATCACAGGGGAGGGGGAAGTCCAGGAGGGGGAGGACCCAACCTTACCTGGATGTTCAATGTCTTATATAATCCAGAAGTTGTGCAAATGAAGGGATGGGCGTAGATATTCTGCTGGGGTGGGGCTGGGTTGGTGCCCTCGGACTCCGTGAGGCCCTGTAATGCTGCTGCTTTGGGCCCTGGCAGGATGGACTGGGGTCTCCATGCCCTGGGTGGTATTTTGACAACAGAGGTGCCTATTGGGCCCAGTGGGGGAGCTGGCTCTCTGGAGGGCTAAGCCCAACCAGCCATTCCTCCCCATCCCCACACATTTCTCTCCTCCTGCTCCCTACATTATCACACAAACATGCACATAGGACCTTGGGGGGTGGACAAGTAAGGGAGTGCGGGTATGGATCCCATTTCCGCATTCCTGTGGCAACCTGCCCCCCAATTTTATTTGCACCCTAAAACACTTCCACCAACGACATTCCACGCAAACACACACTTAGGGCCTTGGGAGTGAGCACATTCAACGGCATTTGGCAGGGGGATTTCTCAGCCTCATCCCAAGTGTCGGTGCCCACTTCCAATTTAAAACTGCACTTAGACACTGAGGGCTATGGGTGCAAGTGGGGTGGTGCGGTGGCATCAGCTGGCATAGGCCAGACGATTCCCGCACTGCCCGCTCACCACAGCCATGGAATACACCTCATCAACACGCACTAACACCAGGCGGAGGGAGACTAGGGGTCTTGGCACACCTCTGTTGTCGCTTGGCTTCCCGGGGCTGGAGGCTAGGAGGGAGATCTGGCCGTCCGGTTGGGGTCTGGGGTGGTGAGTTGCTGTGCTCAGCATTGGGCGGGGGAGCCTGCTCATCAGCACCCCAGCAGAAAGGGTTGAACTCTGGGAACCGGTAATGGTTGTACCCCATGTGCAGCAGTACCGGGACCAGAGTGAATAGGGTGTGTATGGGGAGCATGAGTGGGTGTCCAGCGTGAATTTTTGTAAGTCTTTGGTTGTATGTGTATGTGTGAGCATGAGGGAGGGAGTGTGTGACTGTGTTTGTGTATGACTGTATGTGTCAGGTGGGGTCTTGGACTCCTCCCCTCTCCTGGGACTTCTTGTGCTACTACACATCTTCGCCTACCCTCCCCCTGCCACACCTGGTGTGGAGTGTGGTGCCTTGGTCTGCCTGGGTTGTGGCTCCCAGGTCAGGGAGTTTAAGATTTTTGGAATCTGCCTGACCATTCCCAGTGGCTGCCTGCTGGGATCTGGGTCCCTGGGCTCTGCTGGGTCCCTGGCGGGGGTGGTCGCCCCTAGGTCCCGAGCTTGGCCGGCTAGGGGATGGGAGGCTGCTGGCGGGCCTGTGGGCTTGCCGCCGATATCTCCCGGGACTCTGCCGGCTGTGGCCCCCCGGGGCCATCCTCTGTGACTCTCAAGGAGGCAGGGGCTTTTCTGGTCAGTCTCCCTGGGGTTCCTGTGCTCTGGGGCAGCTCCTGGATCTCTGGGACTTGGAGCTCCTTCCGTCTCCAACACATCTTTAGAGGGCAGATCTGTGGTCCCTCACACTCTCTAGTGGACGCTCCTATAGAGAAACCTTACATAAACAAGCGCGTGTACACACACAGGTGCTCACATGGTGCTCTCATAAGTATGGGCTTTGGCACGTTCAACACGTCTTAAGACTATGGTGGGCACTAAATGCACTGTGATTTATTATCGTGATTCTTCAGTTAAACAATGTTGATTACATATTTCTTCATCAAGTTGATGCAGTGATAGCTTGATCTTGTTGTATTGTTGTTGAGTCCCTTTTTTTTCTTCTCTCTTTCTGCAGGTCTAGAAGCAGACTCTTGTTCATTATTGTTTATTTTTATTTTTGAGTCCTGGATCAAACCATGTGACAATGCTACCGCATCCGCTCTCTCAATTAACCACACTTCTCGTGCATCTGGCCGAGGTGGTGGAACGGGCATGTTAGTTTCCAACAAATGGAAATACAGTCAGTTGCTACCATCACTAAATACAACTCCTTTGAATACCATGCCATCCAGGTAACTGTACCGAAAAAATTGTTTTTGGCTGTCATATATCGCCAACCAGGTAAACTCGGAGACTTTCTTGATGAACTTGACACCCTGCTCTCCTCCATTCCTGAGCACGACTGTCCCACAATGGTCATTGGAGACATGAATATTCACCTGGACAATCCCAGCTCATCAGGCTTCCTGTCACTAATGTCATCATTTGATTTAACACTAGAACAAAGACCTCCAACTCACAAAGCTGGAAAATCACTTGACCTCATTTTCACCAGAAACTGTGCCATAGACACAATCTCTGTCAACCGCTGCATCTTTCCGATCATTAACTCATCGGTTTCAGCTCGACTCTACAAGGGACGTCCACTGCTTCCTCCCCAATGGTCTCATTCTGCCGCAACCTCCGCAATCTGGCACCCAACCACTTCTCCTCTCTTGTTGCCTCCACTCTTCCATCTCCCAGCACATTCTCTGCTCATGAAGTGAACGATGCCACCGAGTCACTCTGCTCCACACTCTGCTCTTGTCTTAACTTGTGTCCTTTAGCCACTAGACCTGCTAGATCCTCTCAGCCGTACCCTTGGCTAAATGACACCCTCCGGTCTCTACGCACCAGTCTTAGAGCTGCGGAACGCAAATGGCGCAAAACAAAAGATCCTGGTGATCAATTGAAATTTCAGGAATTACTGTCCTCATTCTCTGCCAGCATCACTGATGCAAAGTAAGCTTTCTACACTGACAAAAGTCTCAGCTCTACTGACTCTCAGAAACTATTTTCAACATTCAAAACTCTGCTCAGCCCTCCATCTCCACCTCCTACCTCCAATCTATCAGCTGACACCTTTGCCTCATTCTTCACTGACAAAGTAGCGGCTATAAGCAAACAGTTTACTCAACTGGCCACTCCTGAACATTCGCTACCACAAACTCCTTCTATCCCAACCATCTCAGGCCCTACTGCTTCATTTTCCTCTTTTTCTCCTGTCACTGAGAACTGTGTCCACGCTTCTCACGTGCAGCCGCCCTACTACATGCCCACTCGACCCCATTCCGACTAAGCCGTTGCTCCTACAGTCGCCGCAGCAGTCACACAGGTGATCAACGCTTCACTGACTTCTGGTACATTTCCCACCTCTCTCAAGCATGTTCAGGTTAAACCGCTGCTAAAAAAAACATCTCTTCATCCAAATCATGTGGAGAACTACCGACCTATCTCTCTCCTCCCTTTTCTGTCCAAAATCATTGAAAGGGTGGCTTTCAAGCAGATCACAGAATACCTCTCACAAAACTGTCTGCTTGACCCTTACCAATCTGGGTTCAAAAAGGGCCACTCCACTGAAACTGCTCTGTTAGCAGTGACGGGATCCTTAAAAGAAGCTAGAGCAACTGCCAAATCCTCCGTGCTTATCCTGCTCGACTTATCGGCTGCATACGACACTGTCAACCATGGCTTTCTTTTGTCCACACACTCTAGCATGGGCATCACAGAGAAAGCACACGCCTGGTTTGAATTGAACCTCACAGGACGATCATTCAGTGTATATTGGCTTGGACAATCCTCTACCGTGCACCATCTCGCCACGGGAGTCCCCCAGGGCTCTGTACTAGGACTTCTTCTCTTCGCCATATACACCACCTCCCTGGGTGAGATCATTCGATCACATGGCTTCTCCTACCACTGCTATGCAGACGACACCCAGCTCTATCTGTCATTTCCACCGGACGACCACACTGTCTCTGCACGAATATCAAACTGTCTCTCTGACATATCAAAATGGATGAAATCCCACCATCTCCAACTCAACCTCTCTAAAACTGATCTACTTGTCATCCCAGCAAAACCATCCTTACAGCACAATATCTCAATCCAAAATGACTTCCTATCTCTGGCTCCTTCAAAGGCAGTTTGAAATCTGGGTGTTGTGATTGATGAACACCTGGCCTTTTAAGATCATGTTGCCTCTGTTGCTCGTTCATGCCGCTTTGTGCTGTATAACATACGAAAGATCAGACCATGCCTAACACAACATGCCACCCAGCTCCTGGTGCAATCTACTGTCATCTCCCGCCTCGATTACTGCAATGCCCTTCTAACTGGTCTTCCAGGCTGTACTGTGAGACCTCTTCAAATGGTCCAGAACGCAGCGGTGCGTCTGGTCTTCAATCAGCCAAAAAGAGCACACGTCACCCCTCTGTTCATTGAGCTCTACTGGCTACCGCTAGCAGCACGCATCAAGTTCAAATAGCTAACACTAGCATACAAAGTCCAAGACGGTACGGCTCCCATCTACCTGAATCCTCTTGCAAAGGCTTACGTCTCGGCCCGGCCGCTCCGGTCATCACAGGATGGTCGGCTAGCAGTGCCTACACCACGCTCAGGACAATCCAGACTCTTCTCATGCATCGTTCCACAAATGTGGAATGACCTTCCAAGCACTACCAGAACAGGGGCTTCCTTTTTGACTTTCAAGAAACTCCTGAAGACCCTGCTCTTCAGAGAGCATCTTCTAAACTAGCACCCTCCCTGCACCCGTCCCCCCTCTCTACTGTCCACTCCTTGTTCCCTCCTCTCCATGACTGATGTCAAGTTGTTGTTGTTAGCCTCAAGGGCAATATGCCGATTATCACTTGTAAGTCGCTTTGGACAAAAGCGTCTGCTAAATACATAAACATGAACAAACATTTTTACCAAGCAGATCAAATGAATCTACTGACCACAAAAATAGCCTAGCATGCTCTGCGCTGCCCAGCGACGGAGTCACCAGACCAGGGGTTATGAGCGCTGCAGCGGCAGAGTGGGTCAGGCACGAATAAAAGACCAAAATTACCAGAGTATGAACGGACAAGATTGACCGCGTGCTAATTACATATTTTTTGGGTGACACCCCTTTGAGAATGTTCTGCAGGGCACAGCTGCCTGGAGCGCAAGAATAATCAGCACTCTGCACCTCCGCTCAAAAGAATCCCCGCTGCGCTGCGAGTCCATATAAATAATGTAATGTAGGTAGAAACTGGATCTTTTTTTGGACTCCCTCTGGTGTGTTTCAGGGGAGCAACCTCTCAGGAGAACGGGGTTCCCATAGCTCTCCTGTAATTTGAACCCTTCATCCGAGTCCGGATCGGGAAGTAACACTAGCTCCAATCGAGTCTGAAACCACGTGACTGGGACAGATTTTCCATCACGTGATTGGATCTGGACATCCCTGATTACAACATTTAAGCCTGCTTAGTGATATTCTGGTTCTGTATTTGTGTGCGCCCCATTTTTCTCTCTCCCTTTCTGCAGATCTAGAAGCTGATTCTTGTACACGCTTTGCTTATTTTTGTGAACTCTCCCCCCTTTCTCTTTAATTTCCATCTTTGTGTGAGGTAACTTTGTTCTGAATTAATTTATCTGTTACTTGTGTTGATAACTTTTTAAAAATAGTCATTGAAAGCTTTCCATGAGCTAAAACCTCTGAAAGAGGACTGCTGTGTGGCACTTTTCTCTGGACCGCCCTTCTGCTGTTAGAGAGGCGAGATTGGCCATGTGGTGCTGCCTTCTCTTCAGAAAATGACTTAACCAGTAACATGTCTGACAGCCGTGGCATCAGCGTGAGTGCTGTACTTCTGTGTTTAGCCTGGTCTTTCAGGCATCTTCTTGTTCAGGCCAGGCTCGTCATCCACCAATCTCAGCCTCCTGTAGAAGAACAGAAACGTATTTAACATATTTGCATCAGTAATTTCCAAAAGTCCAACTGGACATTCAAATGTGCTTCATATCATGTATGGATGCGGGAGGGGCTAAAACCAGGGTTCCCCACTCTTTTTTGACATGATCGCGTTATTACAACTAGGGCTGGGTGATATTATTTTCATATCAGGATGTATTTTGAAACAAATATGATACGGTTCCTATACCGCTATATCGATTTTATAGTTGTGCAAAGATTGTCTTTCACTATAGGGAGCCTAAGTTTCCTCCCTTTCTGGTCGGCTCACGGGTCCCCGGAAGAACGAAAAAATGGATGCAAGTCAACAGGGCTAAAAGAGCTTTTTACTAATCCTTACGCCCTGGATCGCACGTACGCCGCACTGTAATTTAAAGAGCAAGTCACCCCCTACAAGTAACTTACTTCACTCCCACTTCCTGTTTGAAAAATGCAACAAATGCTGTTGCTTTGCAGACCGAGAGGGCGGAGCCGCTAACAAATACACACACACACAGGCTCACAATGGCATTATGACATCATCATGTACCAGATGACATCATAGCATACCTCTTAGCCAATAGCGGTGGCAAATTTAAATTAGAATACAGTGCAGAATTTTTCCCTGAGGACGGCGCAACACTGACAGTTTTAGGCAGAATATTTGAATTTTAACCAAGATGCACTGAACTGCCAAATTATTGACTACACGTGTCTGTAGCATGATTAGACACTCCTTTATATAGTTTATCAGCAAAAAAATGTGATTTGAGGGTGACTTGCTCTTTAAATGAAAACTAATGATGGGTGTTTTGACCACGCCAGTCACGTACTTTGAGATTTATCAGCTTGTAAATGTTTGTTATTTGAATGACCACACACCAGAAGATTTAACAGATCTTTAAAGAGCAAGTCAACCCCTACCAGAGTCTAACTCCACTCTCACTTCATGTTTGAAAAATGCAACACATGCTGTTGCCTGGCAGACCGAGAGGGAGGAGCCGCTAACAAATACACACACACACAGGCTCACGACAGTATTGTGACATCATAATGTACCAGTCATAGATCATACATCATAGCATACCTCTTGGCCAATAGCGGTGGCAAATTTAAATTAGAATACAGTGCAGAGTTTTTACATGACAACGGCACAACACTGCCAGTTTTAGGCAGAATATTTAAATTTTAACTAAGATGCACTGAAGTGCCAAATTATTGACGACACGTGTCTGCAGCACGATTAGACACTTGTTTATTTAGTTTATCAGCAAAAAAAAAGTTTATTTGGGGGGGTGACTTGGGCCTAGTCCACACGTAGCCGGGGTTTTTAAAAACGAATATCCGCCCCTCCAAAAACTTGCATCCACACCACCTCGTTTAAAAAAACTCTGTCCACACGTACCCGGATAAATACGTTGTTAAGGACATGCCAGACCTGTAGGCGGCAGTACTTCCCCCGTTCTTAACCTCGTCCTTCGTCTGTGGTCTTCCACAAGGAGCAGTAATTCCTCTTGCAAAAACAAACAAGCAGAAAGCGCTTGGACAATTGATAAAGCGAGCGCAGCTCTGAGGGCATCCATGATGTCGGCTAGTGTAAACACAGGTCGCACACGTGATGTCAGCATTTTTTTGTCGTGGAAAGTGACGTTGCGGACCTTAAAACTCCAGTTTTGTCTGTCCACACGCAGACACCCAAAACGGAGAAAACGCAGATCTTCACTTTGGCCGGAGTTTTTAAAAAGATCCGTTTTCGTGTGAAAAAAACTCCGTTTTCGTGTGAATGACAGGCCAAAACGTAGAAAAATATCTACGTTTTGGCAGATCCCCGGCTACGTGTGGACAGGGCCTAGATCTTTAACTGTTTTCTGTTGGTCAGTTATATTGCTGAAATGGACATACAAGTCCTAAAGCTTCCTGCTAGTTTGATTGACAGCAACGGGCAGCTTTCTCCACACAGTTTATGCAAGACTTAAACTCTAAACGGGAGACTGCCAAGAATGCGGGACATGAGTTTCAATTTAGGGGACGTAAGAAAAGTCACAACAACGCAGGACTCTCCCGCTCTGGTCACCATAGTGACGACACGCTACAGCTCTCCGTCAATTAACAGAGAGAGGGAGAAAAACCTCTCACTCCATCTACTGCAATACAGCAGCACTCTTAAACCGCAAGTCGCTAGCTCTGGCCCTTCTTTGGAGGAATAAATCTCAACTTGAGTGTGAAAAATTGGTAAATCTAGCAAACAAAGACAGATGGACAGACTGGGAAGCAGAACTGTTCTAAGCTATTTGATTGGTTGATAGCATCACCTGGAGCGCTGTGAGGGCTGAATGCAGAAACGATCAGATCAGATCAATTTTATTTATAAAGCGCATATTATATGATGGGAGGTCAGAACAAAGTGCTGACAACACGGACTGTAATATTTACATAAAGCCATTTAAAATCCTTAAAGGGACTTTATGGAGTTTTGAATTTTTATGCTTGCGATTGCCCCCTCAGGCCAAAAGTGTAACAGCAGCTTCAATAGTAGGCTCGTGCACGAGGCGCGCATGCTGTACGTGCACACTCCTTAACGAAAATAACAGCTGAGACAGTCGTGCGTGTGTGTGTGTGTGTGTGTGTGTGTGTGTGTGGGGCCCGGAGGACAGAGGACAGGAGAACACACAGCTAATTAATTAAATAATGTGGTTCTGTACCTTTCTCTTCAGCACAGCCGACAAAGGTTTATGATGGGTCAGTCCTCCTGCATGCTCAGATCATTCCCTTCCCTTGCTTGAAAAATTGTTCCAAAATGAAAGTTGACCCCACATCTTTTTTATCTGTGAATTCAATGCCGTTCGGCGAGTCTCAAATAAAAATGTGGGCATTTTACTGTAAAAAATATACCATTAATGTAAAAAATAAACTCTAAATAAACTATGTTCACATCCAGAATCGAACCCAGGTCTTTTGCAAGAGAGTCTGACGTTTTACTAAGTGAGCTAGACTCTAGTAACATTCACAGTATCTGTAACATTTATATCCTTGATGACAGCTGAAACAACGTCAAACCAAAGAACGGTTGGGAGTGAAAATGGCTATTTTGTTGCTAATTAGCAGGAAATATCTAGAAGAAAGTTCTACAGAAAGTAGCTAAGGGTCCTCAGAAATGTAGCTAGCTTTGTCACTAGGCTTTAGGAACAGCGACAAAGTGGCACTACCTCTCTCTCTGCTGCTAAAGCTACGGATAGCAAATGCTACGGGCGATGCCTGAGCGTGAACGCGCATGAAGCAGCCTGCTCGACCCGAGCATCTCTCTTTTTCTGTGATTTTACAGAAAAACAGGCAATCACAGTAAAAATGCCAGGGCTCATTCTACAGGACCAGGGCATTGCAGGAGAACGTATGAAGAAGACATTTATTATTTCTATACATGTTTTGACTGTCACACTTCCATAATGCCCCTTTAAAACAGACAAGATCAAAACACAATTAAAAATTAAAATAAATAAAATTAAATAACCCACACAAGACAGAGTCTCAGACGTGTCAAAAGCTTGCAGATAAAAGTGTGTTTTCAGGGCGGATTTTAATGATGACAGCGAAGTTGCCTGACACACACCCAGTGGTAGGGCGTTCCACAGTGCAGATACACATATTGAGAACGCTCGTTCTCCCCTGAGCTTCTTCCTCGACCTCGGGACCTCTAACAGTAGTCGGTCCGCTGACCTGAGGCTCCGGGACGGTTCATAAAAGGAAAGAAGCTCAGAGAGACATGGTGGGGCAAGACCGTTCAGTGATTTAAAAACAAAAATTTAAATTTTAAATTTCACTCTGAAAGTCACTGGCAGCCAGTGGTGGGAGGCCAAGTAGGTGTTCTGTGATCCCGCCTTTGTGGTCGGGTCAGCTCTCTGGCAGCAGCCTGCTGCACCATTTGGAGATGCTTGAGGAAATGAAAGCAGACCAGCGCTGCAGCCCGACAACCACCGAACGCAGCTGAAAACAGAAATTCACGCCTACAAAGTTTACCCGTTTGTATTTATTCACATGGAGGAAAATAATGTTCCAGGACGACTCAAACATTTCCAGGACATTTTCCATGACTGGAAAATTGGCCTACCATTTTCCAGGTTTTCCAGGATGTGCAGGAACCCTGAAAATAGTCTCTCAAAGGTACCTACATGCATTAGGACTATGGCTGCACAATATATCGTAAATATATCGTTATCGCGATAGCAACATACACAATATGCATATCGCAAAAACAGATAAATATCGCAATGAATGGTCAGCTCAAATGTTTGCTACACATAATTCATTCTGTCATTCCAACGGAAGCATGATGTTTTTTTAACAAATCAAACAGAGCTCTTCACCCATTTGGCCAATTGGGTGCACCCAAGGTCATAGGTCAGACGCTCGCCCCCGAGGCGGACGGCAGTTAATTTTGATGGCTAGCAAACACCTGAGTTAGCTTTGTTCTGCTTTTCCCGGGATCCACTGACCACCTTTTCTTGTTTGCTTTTTCCCTTTCCTCACATCTTTTGCTTTCCTCATTTTTATGATTTTTGTTTTTCTTTGCGTTTGATTATTTTAGTTCCTGAGTTTTTATTTATCGCAAGTAATATCGTCATTGCAATATCAATCACTGTTATCGAATATCTCAGGCTTTCCTAATATCGCGCAGCCCTAATTAGGACCATGAAAATGACGGGCGAGGACAAACTCCTGTAGTTCTTTATGTATTTATGAAATTCACTAGTCCAGAGCGAATCAAAACACGTCAATAACTTGAAGTTATTGACGTGTTTTGTGGCCAAAGGCTTTTGTATATTCGTAATGCTTCCTCCCTTGATGAAATATCTTCTTTGTAATTATTCCAAGTTACCTTGTTGTCATGCTTTTTTGTAAAATATAACCAAACTTTCGAGCATTTGTGCCGCTTAGACGCCATATTTCCTGCTTCCAGAAGCTACGCAATGTGCTCGGTGACGTCATTCGCGTCAACTGGAATTGATAAAGGCAATCGTTTGCAAAAGTATCGAACGATTCCTAGGAATTTAAACAATGGGAACCAGTTCTCAACAAGAAGCAGTTTTCGATTCCCAATGTTTCACTTCACACATCCCTTTGACACCACAAATTATGGCTTTTTTATAGCACAACTGTGTGTGTGTGTGTGTGTGTGTGTGTGTGTGTGTGTGTGTGGTGGGGGGTCTTATGATTTGTTTACTTACATCATCAGACTGCGGTTAGAGTCTCTGGGCATCTTGGGAGGTCACCGACTCTCTCTAGCTTTTCTGGATGTAGTTCTGCACTTTTCTGGTTAAAACAAACAAGCATATGATGTTTATTATGTATAAATGTTTATAGCACACTCCTGTGGTTCTCAGTTAACATCAGTGGGCCCCTGGTGCTGTGGAAACTCTGGACACCTATATATGATGCTTACTAGCAGTGGACTGGTGTGAGCGTAACCACCTTCACTTGAACACCAGTAAAACAAAGGAAATGGTGAATGACTTCCAGAGAAACACTCCTCACCAGTAAACATCCAGGGAGCAGATATTAAGTACCTTTAAGTACCTGGGTGTTCACCTCCACAGCAAACTGAACTGGTACCAAAACACAGATACTCTGTACTAGAAGGGCCAAAGCCACCTCCACCTCCTGAGGTCCTTTGGAGTTAACTCCTAGCTGCTACTACCTTGGGGGTGGGGGGGTGGGGGGTGGGGGGGGTAAAAGTCTAGAGAAGGTATATAAATACAAAGCTTGTGACAGTGTGGGCGTCCTGTCACAGTGTCCCGATTGATGATGCGCCCTGGCTAATTGGCCAGTGGGATGTCCCTTTGGCTGACTGGTTAGAGCGTATGACTCTCACCCGGGAGTCTGGGGATCGAATCCCGCCCGGGCCCTCGTTTATCCACCTTGCCACATTTGGCGTTATTGGCAGGATCCATGTAGTACTGTCAAGTAGGTCCATGGATGTGAAGTTTGTGGCACCCTGCGCGGGAGCACGAGGACGTGGGGTGACTGGTTAGAGTGTATGACACTCACCTGGGAGTCTGGGGATCGAATCCCGCCCGGCCCTCATTTCTACACCTTGCCACATCATTTTCCCCTCTGGGAAGGTAGTCATTTTCCGATCCATCTAAAAGTCCCATTAGTTGTCACACACACACTGATGTGTGAGTGAAATTTGTTCTCCGCATTTGACCCATCCCCTGGGGGAGCGGTGAGCTGCAGGCACGGCCGCGCTCGGGAACCATTTGGTGGTTTAACCCCCCAATCCCACCCCTTAATGCTGAGTGTCAAGCAGGGAGGCGTTGGGTCCCATTTTTTCAAAGTCTTTGGTTTGACCCGATCAGGAATCGAACCCTGATCTCCCAGTCGCAGGGCAGACACTCTACCACTAGGCCACTGAGCTGGTTTCGAAGACGGTATTAAAATTTTTCATATCGTTACATTTTTTTGGTCAACCTTTTTTCCTCTACACTGCTACTTTATTCTGAAAGCATTTACGTTAACCATTTTCCACATCGCAGTTTGTTGTTGTCAGAAAATACAGAAGCCGCCACTCTGAGTGTCCCTAACAGCACATCATGACTTTACCATAAAGACGATTGTGTTTTCTTAACAGCCCATAAGATCCTTTACTTCCCATCCACGGAGACAAGCCTGAGAGAAAAGACAAAGCCAACAATCCCTACATGTTCACTCTGCTTCCAAATGTGAAGAAACACATAATGAAGAGAAGCAGAAGAATGAAATGACTGTTTACCTGGTTTCTTAGGCATCTTCTGAAGAGAAATGACCAGCGGGCTCCTCCTGTTTCTAGTTTAACAACCTACAAAGAGCACAAACACTAAGAACACCAACACTGCAAGCTGGCTTTAGAGGTTTCAACACAACGTGTGAATGACTAGGGCAACAAAAATCAGACCTGATGCAAAAAATAATGAAAATGAAGCCTTTTAAGTTACATCTCCACATAATAAAAGTAAAGTTTAGGTTTTACAGAAAACCACTAAATGACTCAGACAACTTGGAAAATCTTCAGCCATGTGCGAGGTAAAAAGCAAGACGAACCGGGTCCGTTGTGTGTGCTCTGAGGCCAAACAAGTACCAATAATAGCAATCTAGCGAGACCGCGGACACTGTATGACCTCAGGTAACATCTTAGCTACAACTAGACGCTTTAAATTGTTCTTTGGTGTTTTTAAATATAGGAGGGACTTGTTTTTAAATGTTAATATCGGGTGTTCCAGTCAGACCCGTTGCCTGCTGTGACACAAAATGGGTCACGTAGAGGAACTCAGTGACCCATCAAATAGTTCTGTGGTAAAAAGCCACCTTATTGGAAAATCGAAACATTTACATACAACTCGACCGTGTAGCAGAAGCCCATCTAAATTCAGAGCGGGTTCAATGAGTGAGTGGCTAAGCGTGACTAAGGGTGACACGTGGTGGGAAAATGTCGCCGATAGAGCTGAAATTTCACGACGTCAACACAAACACAAAACCTGGCGGGACCATCACAGATTGGGTTTCCTTAAGTCTGGGTCACTGGCATGGTTTGATGAATCCCAGGAGAACAGTACAGGCCTTACTGATATGTTCCCACGGCGAAGTTGGTTTGGAGCCGTTACGCTGTTATGTCAGGCCTAAAACATACAGCTAGGGGTGGGTTGTATGGCAAAACGTAGGGCTGGACAATATATAATAAATATATCGTTATCGCGATATCAGCTTGCACACAGATAAATATCACAATGAATGGTCAGCTCAAATGTTTGCTACACATAACGCATTCTGTCAGTCAGACGGAAGCATGATGGTTTTTTTTAACAAATCAAATAGAGCTCTTCACCCATTTGGCCAATTGGGTCGGTTCTCATGGGTCAGAGTCCCGCCCCCGAGGCAGACAGCCCTTAATTTTGATGGTTAGCAAACACCTGAGTTAGCTTCGTTAGCTCTTTTTGCCGATTCTGCTTTTCCCGGGATCCAGTGAGTCCCTTTTCTTTTTCATTTCTTTTTCCCTTTCCTCACATCTTTTGCTTTTCTCCTTTTAACGATTTATTGAATTTCTTTGTTTTTGATTATTTTTGTTCCCGAGTTAAGTTTTTATTTGTCGCAAGTAATATCGTCATCGCAATATTAATCATTATCGAATATTGTAGGTTTTCCTTATATCGTGCAGCCCTAGCAAAAAGAAATCAATTTATTTTTACAGTAACGTCCCCATCAAGATTTTATCACCATCTAATTTTAGCTGGTTTATTCCAACCATTGTTGAATAATGCAAATACACTACGTGAAAACGCATCAATAAAAAAAAAAAAATTTTAAATTGCCGGTACTTCCTTGTATATATGTCGATGGTGCCAACACATGGTAGTTTATGTTTATGTTTATGTGCTTAGCAGACGCTTTTATCCAAAGCGACTTACAATTTTTTTTAACATATAGGGCATGTTGTGGTCTGTGGGGGAAACCGGAGCACCCGGAGAAAACCCACGCATGCATGGGGAGAACACGCAACTCCACGCAGAAAGGCCGCAGCCGAGTTTCGAACCTGCGACCTTCGTGTTGCGAGGCAACAGTGCTAACCACTGTACCACCATGCAGCATGGTAGTAACATTAATGTCTGAAAACTGCTGGTAATTAACTTAGCACGTTGAGATTTCTTCTGTAATGGAAAGTGCATTAAAAATAAAACGTGTTAGTATTATGATTGTATTAGAGCCCTGCACGGGCCTAAAATCTGAGCCCGTGTCGGGCCCGGCCCGAGGGGGTGGAGCCCCAGCCCGACCCGGTCCGAAAAGTTTTTCAGGATTCTCTGGCCCGACCCGAGCACGACTTTTTATTTAACCTTTCATAATGTTTTAGCGTGATAGAATGCTCAGCATTCTGATTATCTGTGTAAGCGTTCTGCAGTAAAACGAAAGAAAGAAAAACAGCATCAATGCAGCTTTTTTTTCTAACATCGAGCGTATTTTTCGAGCGGCAGATGAAATTTACAAACACTATATTAATTGGATGCGTTTGTAAATTTAATCTGCTCTGAAAAGGCGCTCTTGTGCAATTAGAAAAAAAGCAGCGTTCTAATTTTCTAACTGCAGAGCGGCAGATTAAATAAACGCCCCCAGTTAATGTAGCGTTTGTAAATTTAATCTGCCGCTCTGAAAATACGCTCTCCAGTTAAAAAAAAAAAACAGCAATGAATGCTGAATCTTTTTAACTGCAGAGGGAATTTATTCACAGAAAAACAGAATGCTGCCATTTTCATGAGAATAAACGAATGGTTTCTGACATCAAAGTGGACATAAAATGGCGTATTAGAACAGGGGCACATGTTTCAGTCAGCAGTTAGAGAATTCGTTTATATCGGCGCGTTTATAAACCACACACATCTTAACTGAGCTAACGGGTGCCGGTGCGTGAGAAGCAGGCAGGTAATGCTGCGTTCAAGTGTTTTTTATGAATTTGATTAAAAATGAAGGTGCCCGGTCCGTGTCCGAGGTAATTACACAGTCGTTGGCCCGAAGCTGACACCCAGGCAGAGGGTGCCTCCTCCCCTTGACTGTAAACACCAACACCCAGTCTCTTTCTGTAGCAAGTAGAGGTTGACCAATATTGGTTTTTCAAGTGATGATACGATGGCAATATTTAGGAGTCATGGTCAGCCGATGGTCCATGGCCAATATCTATAGAATTTCCACCTTATTTTCATGCTAAAATCAGTTGATGCACAATATTTCTGAAGCTGAATCGGTTTTAAGTGAATTCACTTTGTGCACTGCTCGATGTCAAAGTCAGACACAGAAAGTTATGTAGATGTTATTAATAAATACTAAAGTACATTTAAATCAAATTCTAATTTCACCGGCCGCTTGTTAAAGACACTAGCCTGAGGCAAATTTCCTTTCAATGACAAGTGTTAAAAGTAATAATACCACAGCTGGCAAAATGGTTGGATTTCCATGGCTGGATTTTAAAAACACAATGTTTAATATTTTTACTTGTTTATTATCAAATTCTGTGTATCACCTTCACAAACTTGTCCTTTTCATTAACAATCATCACCAAATTCTATTCAAAATATTCCTTTAAGCTTAAAATGTCACATTTTTATACACATAAACTGTGGTCAACGCGCCATCTTGAAATATAGCTGTTTAAGACATGTTGCATTTTTGCTTTGACGTGAAAATTCTCTTCCTCCCTCTAAACGTTGTGAATAAGTGGCAGCTGGTTCTCTCCCTGGCAGCCGTGCTGGTGTGGGGAAATTCTTCTCCCTCCCCGTGGGTTGCCTGCCCTGCTCAAACGACATGGAGCACAGCAGCGAGAGGACAGCAGCTGCAAGTGACTGATCAATCCGGTTCTACACATATTCACAGGACACAAACAGAAAGCTCTCTGATCCCCGAGAGAGATGCTGCAGGATTAAATGTGATGGCTAAACCATCCAAACTACATGAGTGGACGGTAGAGAGGGGGGACGGGTGCAGGGAGGGTGCTGGTTGAGAAGATGCTCTCTGAAGAGCAGGGTCTTCAGGAGTTTCTTGAAAGTCAAAAAGGAAGCTCCTGTTCTGGTAGTCCTTGGAAGGTCATTCCACATTTGTGGAACGATGCATGAGAAGAGTCTGGATTGTCCTGAGCGTGGTGTAGGCACTGCTAGCTGACGATCCTGTGATGACCGGAGCGGCCGGGCCGAGACGTAAGCCTTTGCAAGAGGATTCAGGTAGATGGGAGCCGTACCATCTCGGACTTTGTATGCTAGTGTTAGCAGTTTGAATTTGATGCGTGCTGCTAGCGGTAGCCAGTGGAGCTCAATGAACAGAGGGGTGACGTGTGCTGTTTTTGGCTGATTGAAGACCAGACGCACCGCTGCGTTCTGGACCATTTGAAGAGGTCTCACAGTACAGCCTGGAAGACCAGTTAGAAGGGCGTTGCAGTAATCAAGGTGGGAGATGACAGTAGATTGCACCAGGAGCTGGGTGGCATGTTGTGCTGGGTGTGGTCTGATCTTTCGTATGTTATACAGCACAAAGCGGCATGAACGAGCAACAGAGGCAACATGATCTTTAAAGGTCAGGTGTTCATCAATCACAACACCCAGATTTCAAACTGCCTTTGAAGGAGCCAGAGACAGGAAGTCACATGACTGGAGTATTGTGGGTACCCCTGAATTTGGACACAAGCAGTCAGGCTCAGAGTGCATCACACATCTAAAACTGTCCAGTTCACTTCTCCATCCTCAATCATTTTGAGATCAAATCTGACAATTTTACGATCTTGTCAACATATTCAAATTTTATTTCACCTCGCGTATCTCCGCCCGGTGTAATAATCTCAACCATTCAGCACACAAAGCCATCCGGTACAATCCTGTACATTTAGAAAGACTATTTTCTACTCCAAACATGAAGAAATCCCAAAGCAAAGTACAAACCACAAAGTCCTCATTTATCAGCCTACAGATCTGAGCGGAAGTTGTGCACTGGAACAATTTTATGAATTGTGTGTTTAGCATTGTGTACTAGTGCATAGAAATTTTCCTAAATATAAGAGCAGCACTGACCATGCACACAAACAGCATCTAGTGGTAGAATAGGGGAACCCGTGGTCTCAGCCATTACACGTGTTACTCAACTACAAGTTGTTTTACCCAGTAAACTATTTGGGTGGGAAATCAGCTTTATTGCATAAGATGTGTTAGACCCTATAAAAGACATGTGTGACCAATGGGAATATGGCATTGTAGTATGGCGGATTTCGCAGAGCGTGCACCCTGAAGGGAACGTGTCCTCCATTAGCGTACTGATCTGATTCCTGAAGGTGATCCTTCTGGAGCTATGCCATGATATGGGACCCTTTATGTGGAGCGATAGACAAGCCACACAAATCCAATTCCAGTCCATATTCAATTACAGACCACTACAAGACCCCCCAGAACCTTCTCTGCTCCCCAACATACACACGTTGCCAAGGTAACCAAACTGAACGATCACTCAGAAGAAGCTTCACTCTGTCAACATTTCCAGTCAACAAAACTAACTTCAATTAGTACATGCAAACAACTCCTTCAATCTAAACTGTATTTATTTTTGTCTGAGATTTACAACCTCTGCTTCCTCAGCCAGCACCTCAATCTCACCGTCAATACTTTGTTTCCCAAGAACACAGGAATCCCCTCCTGAGCCGAGGACGTAGTGTGTCCAAATATGGTCAATTGAGGGCATTTCTTTATGTGAATGACTGAACAAACACGAGCCACTGGGTATGCGCAGGTGGAATTTATCAACAGACGATTGCGTGAATGCGTACGAGCGGCCAGCGCATGTTTCACAATTCAGGATTTTGGCTGTTCATGCGAACATTCGGATGGAATAAAGGACAGTTCCTATTAACGTTTGATAAATGAGACCCCTGGTTTGAAGTGTTCAACATGGAAGAACTTGACTCTCCCACACAGCTCTGACATCAACACCATCGAGCATCTTTCGAATGAGCTGGAACGGAGACCAGTCTCTTCCAACAGTGCCTACAGAAAAAAAATGGGCAGATTTCCACAGAAAAACAACAAAAAGCCTTCAAAGATTTGATATAACAGTTGCAAACAAGACCAAACTCCATACTCCAGAGTATCAATCTGAATACAACAGATTAGGGATGTAAGAAAATGTCGATTATGGCAATATATTGTGATATTTTCCCCATTGATATTATATCAATATTCAAAGGCTGTGTATCGAAAATATCGATATCGCAATATATCGTGATATTTTTTCTTGCGAAAATGTATCGATATTCAAAAGTCGTGTATCTAATTTTTGGAAGAATTTACATGGAAACATTTGTGTATTTTCTTTTCTTGTGGTGCAATTCAAACGCCGACCACTAGTAGGCAGCAGTGTGTAATGGGTTTTGTTTCTACCATTGAAATGTAAATCCCTCTGTTATGGTTAAACATGTTAAGTATCAGTTTGGACTGTTTATTGAATTTTCCTATAATTAATTTAGTCTAAAAAATCGCCAGTATCGTCTGACTGAATGTATCGCAATATATCGTGATGTATTGTATCGTCTCCCCTGCATTGTAATACGTATTGTATCGCCAGAATTACACCAATACACATCCCCACAACAGATTCAGATCGGGCAACGGTCAAACCTGTGTCCATGTAGCACGGCACTGACTCATAACCTCACAGCAGAGAATTCAGAATATTTTAAATCTACATTTGCAGGTAGAGAACCGTCAGTGAAGACAGTAACTTAGTAAATCAAAAGCACTACGCCAAGGCTAGTCTGCTCTGCTGAATATTGACGTCAACACACTCTTTGCCCAACGCAAAAATGAATCATATCACAGTTAAAATGTCAGTTTTGTTTTGAGTTGTTTATTAAAAGCCTTCAAATGAAAAGCAACTTAAAAGTGAACAAAAATAATACAGGAGCGGTCTGAAGATCCTACTATCGCAAGAAATTTTAACACAAAATGAAAAATAAAATAACCCCCCCCCCCAACTAAAAAAAGATCACACTGAAATTTTTGAGTTTTTGCCAACAAGTGCCGCAAATCCTAAGAGTCTTGTACGTCCTCTCGCAACAAGTTTTATCAGAGAACTCCTGAACTGATTATTAAATGGTAACGATGGTTCTATAATAACTCAACAAGCTTACTTTGAATAGATTTAACATTTGAATTTGAATGAAATCCCTTTGTTTGAAAATTATATGGGCTGGATATCTGAAACATCCTACAGAAGCCATGGTCTACCCGTGTAAAAAGATTCACATCACAGTGCAGCTTGGGTGGTAAACAGCAGGCTGTTGCGTCACAGTGAAATAGCATCAACACCTTTGCTGCTAAACATTTTAAAGAGAACCTGAACAGTTAAACAGGCTAAGAAAAGTAAAAGTTATCAAAACCCAAGAAGAACCATGAAGATGGATTAGTATGTTTTTAGTGACCGGGCAAAATCTTCCAGAAAGTCTCAGGAGAACGCAAAGCAATCCGCCATAGACGAGGTGGGTGTAAAGCGCCATGTGTGTCAGCAGACGACGACAACGGTGACGATCTTGTCATAGTCTAAACCTGAAAAGAGAGCACACCACACATGTCAAGGAGCGCGTTTTACTCAGGGTCCGCGCAAGTTTGGCTGATTTTAAAGCAGAAAAGTTGGAGGATCTTAGCAGCTACGCCTGATGATTAGGTGTTGATTTGATGGCTGAAGCAGACCTGGAGGTATTTTACTGATTTAACGGATGGAAGTGATAAAAGCTATGACTGTATCTCAACTCAGGTCTCAATGACTTCAACAAACATTTGTATGCTTTAAGCTACTTTTAATAATCAGATGTTTCATTTGGTCTCACCTTGTGTTGCGCTCTCTTTTTAATAACCTGGGAAGCGAGATGATGGCGGCGGCGGGGGAGGCACTCTCTCCGACAACACAGCCCTGGGCCGAGGAGCTGCGTACGCAGGAGCCCTGGACACTGGAGACAGCCGAGAACGCTCATAGGAGTACCCATTACCAGTGGAAGGCGTAGTCGGAATCAGCACCCTTCTGATTGGACTCCGGTCCCTGACTGTATACGGTGAAGGAGCAGGGAGAGGCTGCCGCTCATACGGGTCAAGAGACCGGACTCCGACACGCGGTCTAGCCAGAGTAGGCATAGGTGGCGGAGGAGGGGGAATGGCACTCCTGTCATCGTAGCTCACAGAGGCGTAACGGGGTCTGTACTTTTCATAGTAATCCAACCCCGGATAGGAAGCTCTGTCCCCATAGCCACGGTCGGCAAAGGGAGCTCGTCTCGGTGGAGGGGGTGGCGGCGGAAGGGGAGGAGGAGGAGAATACGCAGACATGCGACTTCTGTACGGGGGATCGTGTCTTGGTGCTGGATAGGGAGGCATATAATAGCCTCCTCTACCTGGAGGCGGATATTCTTCCTCCTCATAACCCCCCCTTGGTCTGCTTTTTGATACCTGAACGTGAATGCGCTTTCCTAAGAGAAAGAAAAAAACTGTTGGCCCTCAGTCTAAAAGCCTTTAAAAAACACGAATAATGGTGGAAGACTCACCCTTGAACTCAATGTTGTCCAAGCCCTGCAGAGCATCCATGGCCTCGTCGTGATTGGGCATGTGCACAAAGGCAAAGTTCTTAACAATCGAACACTCACTGACTGTGCCGTACTCCTCAAACAGCTCTCGCAGCTCGTTGTCGTAGCCCTTCTCAACGTTGGCTATATGGAGCTTGACCGGAGCCTGGTTCTTCCCTCTGCTGGGCTCCACATTGATCGGTCTGCCATCCAGCTTATGGAGATGGAGCTCACGAATGGCTTTGGTCGCAGATTTGCGGTCTTCCATGTGGACGAATGCATAATTTTTGTACTTGGCACATTCGGTCACAGTGCCGTACTTTGCAAAGAGGGATTCAATGTCATCCTTCTCAGTGTTCTGAGAAAGATTCCCAATGAAAATCTTCACCATTTTTACTCCACTTTCCTGGAAAATAAATAAAATGATGAGTCCGGGCAAGTAAACACAATCAGTTACATGGTGTCCTATTGGTTTAGGTTTGTTTCCTACAAAACGGGTTGTCCTCCAATCTTTCTTTTAACAAATTGTATTTTAAGTAAATAACTTAAAAGAAAAATGTTGATGCATCTGTCTTTTGGTCCACTGTAGCAGTGCACATTCACACTGATGGCGGAAAAATTACGTGTGTAGAAAGAAAATTACACGAACCTGATTTTGTTACTTTGTGACAAAAATACCCTGAAATTAGTACGTATATGAGCAATAATTAGTACATTTTGGCAGGTTTAACACACCGTGTAGACTGGATTTCTAGAAAGACTTTTGAGCGTCTGGACACGGTCTTCACCGGGGAACACATTTCAACGTAACACCATAGCACGCAAAATGGAAAGCTTTTGATTGAAACGCCAATAAATACAAAACAATTATGTTTATTTACAACTTTATTTTCTCTATCATTTAAACGGAATAATGTTTGGTACAAAACACGAATAAGGCGAAATTTCTAAACATTATCGAAGTCATTTGTTAGCACTTCCTGGCTACTGAGAAGCTAACGCTGGCGGCCAAGCACGCCATTCAACCGCACCGGTCAATAGAATAAAGCCTGTTATAACTATCAACGAATAACTATGCACGGATTAAAGGTAAATCAAAGACATCGAAAATCAGAAGAATAACTCAATCAAACTCACTGTGAAAATAGCAAAACAGCAAAGTCAAAGAAAGCAACTCCGTCTAAGAGATGTCGCTAATACGACAGGCGGTATGCGCACATGTAAACACCTGATTGGACGGCAAACATGTCAATCAATAGTAGCTGGACGGTGATTGGTTGATTTGTGACCACAACGAAAAGGCTGGCTCTGTGCTGTGAGGAGTTTCCTGTTGAAAAAGAAAGCTCGGGTTTACTTTGCTGTTTTTCTTACAAAGGTCAGTGAAATCAATAAAGTTATGTAGCTCAAAAGAATGCTAGAAGAACTCCATGTATGTTTTACTTTTAAATGTTTCCCCGAAATCTTCTCCCCCGTCTCATCCTGTTTAAAATCAATCACTTCTTTTTTCCCCACATTTCATTTTTATGTTTATTAATCAGCCTTAATTTGACCCTTATTTCTAATCGCCAGCTGACCTGTAGTTTTTCTGTGAAGAAAAAGTCAGGGTGATCAGAGCAATGAAAACATTCAAACCTCTCAGATGTCAATCCTCCTAGCCTAGAAATCTAGACATACAGTAGCAGGTCGGTATTGCCACGCTCCACTGGATCCTCAGCACTGAACACTGCAGATCAGAACAGTCTTGTGCCTTGCCAATCACAGCGCTCTATCGGTTTGGTGGGCGGGTTTGAAACAGCTTTGGCAGGATACCACAGAAAAGCGCCACAACCTCTGTTGTTCTGGCGGGGAATTGCTTTGCAACACTTTGCTGCCTGCACAGAAGTTCACATGTGAAAACATTTGTGACGGTCTGTGTGTCCAAGGCCGGATTAGAATATGGGCAAACTGGGCACAGGCCCAGGGGCCCACAGCCACAAGGGGGCCCACGCGAGCAGCAGTCTTTTTTTTTTTTTTTTTTTTGTGCAGCAGTCTTAACGTTGGAGGATAAAGTTAACAAGTAATTAAACTTGTGCCAGCATTTTCTAAGTTAACACACATTTTGTTTAACAACGGTAGTTTTTGCATCTTTACTGCCTGCTTCAGCCCTCTCCCCCCTCCCCCTGAGCAGAGGCCGCAAACTCACTGATGCGCCTGCAGCCTCTCAGAGTTCCTGCTGCTCTAAACATCGAATTATTTCATTTTCTGTTCCTCACTTCTGATTACCTTCAATGGTGTCTGTTTGTTGCCACCAGGTACAAAAACAAACTTGGTTTTTATGTGACTATTTTTCTGTCCTGCCTGTTTATTATCTTCCTGCATCTCCTCTCAGTCCTAAAGAGAAACTGCTACCTGGGTTCATATATATTCACCTCATGAGTTACCTTTGAACTGCAGTTCTAAAAGATCTACCGACCGCAAAAACAGCGGCACATTGTGCCCAGGCGCCCATGCAATGATAATCCGGCCCTGCGTGTGTCGCTCCATTGCAGAGCTCACAGAGACGTATAAATCAGGCAAACAAATTGGGATTGTTTTATCACAAAATTTTTTTTAAAATGTGTGTATAATCTTATTTCTCTCACTGATGATTTGTATTGGCATCCATTCCTGATCACATCCTTGCATCATGTGACCGGAAGTTACCCATTTAGGGACACCTGCAAGATTTTATTTAGTCTCTTATGCCCTAAAGGTCGCATATGACCGTAGAGCGCCAGCAGCTCATCCTTGCACAATAAGACTCAAACTACTTAGACTGCTGTTTGTCTTCCTTACCTCATATTGGAGAAAAAGAAACCGCTCCAGAAACACATGTGCAGAAACAACTTCCTCAGTTATTTTTGTATTAAGATTGGTTTTGATGAGGAAAAAGTATATATTTAAATAAAAGGGCAGTTATCTTCCATTTTAATAAAGATTTTCATCACCTTTCTAGATGTTTCTGTCTTAAGTGGTGTAAGTGTTTTAACATCCGAGTAGTTTAGCTGACTAAAGTTTTGTTACAGTAAAAAAAGGCCTGCAAACAAATAAATACCAAACAATGAAAAGTCCTTTATTGCCATCAGAACATAAGACCAGAGACAAAAATCTGACAGTGAGGAGACGACTGTACACACACACTCACACACACTCACACACACACACTCATGAGGGATACAGATACATTAGGGAATACAGTACTGAACACAATGAGGTAAAAAGGCAATCAAACATACTAGAAAGAGCTTCATTCACTCACACACATGCAACTGAACCAAGGTACAATACACCAGGGCTAGTTCATCCTCTAAGAACATACAGGTGAACATACAGGTGAGCAGAGATGTACAACAGCAGCATCGGGGTCGTCTAGAATCAACCACACGGCCAGCGTCAGTCTCTCAGAACCTTTGGTCATGCACAACAAAGTTTAACACCGTCTAAAGGGAACCGTTCCCTCCCTGACTACTGAGAGAAAGACTATTGGAGATGGGGAAAACATTGATTCAGTCACAAATAAAGTTGTTCTCTCTCCAAGGCAGAGTTTCTACATCAGTTGGACATTCAGTGTGTAAATTAGCAGCAATTCTAGTGAGTGAAGTGACAGCTTTGTAAGTCGGATTAATAACACCCTTTCCACATGCGCTGGACAGGCACCACCGACCATTCAGGAAATAAACGCCATGCAGGTCAAGAGGAAAAACAAACCAAACAACTCACAAGACAAAGAAATCAGAGCTTGTCTCCACAGAGGTTGATTTCAATGTTTTATTTCAGACTTTCTAAGATGTGGAAATGGCAACAAAAAGAAAAGTGAGAGCAGTAACCAAGACAACGGTAACAATATGAGCAGAGAGCAGTCCATCTCCACTGCCAGGTAAGAAACACCCCTCTCCTTTAAGGTCTCACTCCTGTCCTGGACTTGGTTCTACACGGAGGACCCGGTGGACTTCTGCTGCCTGGTGTGTCATGTGGCTCTCATTTCATTTGAAGCTGTCCCAATCCCAGTCTGCAGTCCCCTGGCCCTCCCCCTCTCTTCCACTAGCAGCACCCACAGCAAAAAAAAAAAAAAAGTAAAAAGACGGTGACCCTCTTGTGCGTTAGGAGCCGCGTGCTGCTGCGGTTTCTGAGTTTACCAGTATGGCTGGAAGCTAGCCCCAACACCACCTCGGACTTAAAGAGGCACGGCGTCTAATTCTGTAGTTCAAGTCGGCCGTCTGTCTGGTCTGGGCCCGTCCCCCGTCATCAAAACGTACAGCTGCAGCCCTGGACCCTCAAAGTACCCACACGCAGCAAGACGAGGCTGCACACAACCCATCGGGTCAGAACACCCAGGGCTTTTAGGATTTTTGTAGCCAACTCGTACGCACCAGCACCGACCCAATGCCGTCCATTCTACATGGAATGAGGACAAGCGGCTTGGATTCAGTAATTTTGGCACTAGACCTCCTCGTGTTGACCAGCCTCGCTGTTTTACTCCCTCGTGAGTCCGTTCCTTCCTCTAAAACAAATGAAAACCAGGAAGAGTACTTCTCCCACACGTCTTCCTCTTTGGAAACAAAAACAACCTTACTGGAAAAACTCAAGTTTTTTTTATTTCAAATTCAAGGCACAATGTCTGTCAATGTTGCGATCTGCCCATCTTCATGCCCAGGTCCAGCATGTGAACCTTGCACTACATCGGCTATCGGACCGTCTGCCCACACGCCTACGGCTCACGGCTCTCTTGTCAGCACTTAACACAGAGACGCATCTGTTTTGGTTGAGAGAGCGACCGCCAAGTCCAAACCAGCGATAAACATGAACAGAATTAACACCAACATAGGGAAAGACACAAAATAGACAACCGTTTAAAAAGAAAAAGAAAAGTCTCGTCCTGTTTCTTGTGTTTCAGTACTTTTAGAAATCAAGTTGTACCCACCAGCTCTTTTTGGCGAGCCGGTCGTTTTTAAATAAGCACTAAATACTGATCGATAGAATAGCATACGCCGCTAACGAGTGTAGATTTTAAGTAGATGCGTTTGTCGTTTTTTCCCGCTCTCGTATGAACTCGGGTATTTTGTCAGGAACTTTCAATCGTCTGTTTAAGGTTTACGTTAATGCAAGCAGGGACTGAGTTTGCCATGGAGTCTTGCTTGAGACTTGGGTTCACCAGGGAAGGGGCGTCGTCTCTTTACGAGACCCCGTTGACCAAGGTCAGGCTTTCGCTGGCCGAGGTCACGCCTTTGCTGGGAGAACGCTTGGAAGGCGTTCGCTCATCCTTCTCTGCGCTGGTGCCGTTCTCCTGTGGACAGAAAACAACCAACAAGCAGACATTAGTTTGGTTCAGTAAGACAGCGGTCCAGCCGCAGGTTTTGGACCGTACCTTGGGTTCGGCGTGGTTGTCTTTCTGAGGCAGGTTCTGCCTGCTCTGGGATTCAGCACGAGATATGTAGTCAGCAACAGTCACTGGAAACATTTAGCTCTGTTAGCTAAAACAATCACCGAAGGAGAACTTGTTCCAAATAGGAAGACAACACAACGGTGAACCCACCAGTTTCTGCCGGTTGTCTCTCACGGCTGGTTGAACCTCCTTCTGGGCGGCCGCCACGGTTACGGCGGCGGCGGCTCCGGTTGCGGCGCTGAGGTCGGGCTTCTTCATCTAACAGTCAAAGACAAAAGGATCCCCTTGAGTGCACCAGCTGGTCCTAACCCCAGTTAGTCATAATTCTTGTGCCAGACTTGGTCAAGTCAGACATAATTAGCTTTTATCTAAATATTTACTACAGTTTTATTTCTCCTTTTACATGATCAGATGTTTTATATGATTTTATTTATTACTTATTTTCTAACTTTTGTCCCTTATATTAGCTCTTTTATTTTCATATTTTTACTCATATTAATCCAGTGTTTCCTCTGTAGGGGCCCTCTGCCCCGGGAGCGGTGGTCGATTGTAGCTTCCTGGGCGCTCTACAGGTGGCGTTTAAGTAGAGGTGGGGGTCTATGCTTCCCCTCCACTGAGCGCCCTGACTTAGTGTGGAAGACCTGATGCTGCCGGGGCAGATGGCTCCTCTGATGGCGTTTCCTTGCCTTACCTTACTTGGCTCATCTGGACTCAGCCAAAACTTTTACTTGTGTGTGTGTTTGTGTGTGTGTGTGTGTGTGCACGCGCGTGTGTGTGCATATCTGTTAATGTTTTTAACCTGTTATGGGAATCTGGGGTCATTTTGTAAAGCACTTTGTTTGAAAAGCGCTTTATAAATAAATCTGACTGATTGATTGATAATGACTGGAGTTGGAGGCGAGTGCACCAACTGAGAATTGGACCAGTGCCTGGTCGACTCGTGTGCGTTCACAAGGATACAAGTGTTGCTGCCTGACAACGCAATGGCCGCAACGCAGCGAAGACGGAAGAGGGAGGCAAAGTTCCACAAAATGTTATAACACAAATATTAAGACGTTTATTTATATAGTACTTTTCACAGACATGACACAAAGTGCTTCACAAAAAAAATACAATAAACAACAAAACATTAAATAAAAACAGCATCACAATAAACTATCAATCAGAAAAATGAGCCAGAACTAGAGCTAGGAGACCGAAGGTGGGTCGTAACCAGTGTGGGGAGGGTGTAGGAGTCCGGAGGGTATAAACCAAACAGCAGGATTTGTGAAGTAAATTCCATGCTGTCGTTCTTTTTTAAAACACAGGAACAGTTTCGTTGCTGGTTTTGTCGCTACGTTTCGTCCGCAGCTGCAAACTTCCTCAGGCTGACACTGATGGTGGCGTCACTTACGTTGTCGCCCTCTGCTGCCCGCTCTCCCCTCTCCGACGATGCAGTCCCATGCTCGGTCCAACGTGTAAACTCCATCGTCCCTGTTCATGGTCCCACATCCACGTCTCTTTATCTCGATAGCTTCTTTTATCCATCTTTCGTATTTTTGTTGTTCAGTGTTTATGATCCTTGTGTTGTCCCAGTCCATTACATGGTTTTCTCTTGTGCAGTGATCTGTTACGGCTGATTCTTTATTGTGCTTTCTGCTTCTTCTTTTGCTGCTCTTGTGTGTTTTCGACTTGTTTCTTTCTCGCACTCCTTTCTGTGTTCTATTGTTCGTGTGTTGAGTCGGCGTCCGGGTTCTCCTACGTATGTTTTATTGCAGAGTTTGCACGGGATTAACGGAGAAGGAAGTGACGCCACCATCAGCGTCAGCCTGAGGAAGTTTGCAGCCGCAGACGAAACGTAGCGGGACAACAGGTAAACAGAACTGCTCCGTGTTTTTAATAAGAAATACAGCATGAAATTAGAGATACGACACAGCAAGAACACACCTAAGGTGTGTAGTAAAGCGTTGGATAAAGAACTAAATGAGACAAAAAGCACTGTTTGGAAGATGATCGCAGCTGCCCTCGATGACGAGTGTGACAGCTGAGTGTGAACAGTCGAGGAGGCGAGAACAAAATGGAAAGATGTCCTGTCCTGTTATTTTCATACAATTTGTTTTAAATCAACTTTGAATGATTATTTAATGTTTATTATATTTGTTTTTTATAATTACAAAGTAATGTGACATTACTTGTGTCAGACGGGAGTTGGATGTAAAATACAGCAAACAATGGAAGAAGGATATTTGGAATAAGCCAAAACTTAGAAATTATGTACAGTTTAGAAGGGATTATAATACAGAATTATAACTCAAATGTAAGTTAAGAAGAAGACAAAGATCGCTCTGCGCTCAAATGAGAACGGGCACCCTCCCTTTGGCAGTGGAAGTGGGACGATTGAAAGGAATACCTCGGGATTCTCGTCTGTGCGAGTTTTGTGATTCCAACGTGGTTGAGAATCCTTTCATGGTTCCATGTATTGTGATTTGAGAGTCCTGATTTGATTTTATCCAGTCGAAAAATCCTGATTTATTTTGGAAGCAGGAAGCTGAAATTATGAATTGGTTGTTTGAAAATAATATTTTTGTTTTAGCTGAATTTGTGGAAAAGGCGTGGTAAAGACGCCAAAGTATTCTATACCCCATATGAGAAATACGAGGTCATAGTTGTGTTGGTTTAGCAGTGTTGTGTATTACTCTGCATCACACAGCCGTGTTATGATTTATTGAATGTTGTAATATCTAATAAGCCCGCGTGGGCTGGGCACCCTTTATGGTGTATGACACTTAAATAAATTAAATCAATCAATCAAAATAATATAATTATATGAACTTAATCATATACCAATAAATCCAATAACTATTGCTTCTAATGTTTGTGATTATATAGCCGTTTAACAAGTCACAGCTCGACAATGGTCTCTGCCTTACTAGGACCGTCCCGTCCTCGGCACGAGAACGCTGCATCCAGGAGAGTGATCGGAACAGGTCCACTAAATGTGGATTATTATTATTATTATTATTATAGACCTCACACCAACAACGCTCTAATGAATTAGTGCTAAAACAATGGAGCTAGCCCATCTTTCATCAACACACAGGAATTAACAGATTCATTGGCTCCAGCTTGGTGAGTCTCTGCTGAATTACCAGTAAAATACACCATTTATAAATAACACAATAACTGCATGTTAGTCATCACCTACATCACAAAATGCAGTTAATATTATTATCCATCCGATCTGACCGTTTTCCAGAGTAGTTAATGAGTTGTACTGGTGGAAGGCAGAAGACAAAGTGGTTCCTAGCAACTGGGTATAATTCAAAGACTGTAGAAAAAATGATAATTGGTACGGTGTCATTCAGAAAACTAATTCTGAGACTTGGTGGAAGAAGTAAAATGCAATCAACTGAAATATAATTAAAATTTTAATAGGTTAAAATGCTGTGAATGATAGTTTAAAGTATTAATAATTTGTATTTCTGCACATTTCTGTGTGGTGCCATTTAAAATCAAACATCGTTTTTGCAGCAATTAAGTTAAACTAGAAGAAGGTAAAAAATAGGCGGTTCATTCTTCTAAGTCAGGGATTCCCAAAGTGTGGTGCGCGCACCCCTGGGGGTGTGCGAGGTGAAAAGTGTAATGGCTGCGGAGCTCAGAGAAGTCTGTCATATGTCACCATCAGCGTAGAAACTCATTTGTGGGCGGGCCAAAGAAAAAGTAAGTGGCTCCAATAAATGTAATAGAAAACAAGTATAGTTTTGCGCGCGTGTCCTCCGCATGTGCCCTAGCTTCATAATAACAATGCGCCGAGCTTCAGCGCTCTGGCCTGAGCACGCCGATATGTTCCGTATTTGATCATTTTTAACGGTGTTGGAGAAATCTGAAGGTGGCGAGTCATTCTGGCAGATTGTAATTAACACCTGTCTCATGCAGGTGTTCTGACGTTGTAAACCTCACACACAGAACATTGTGGATGTAACTAAATAACAAGAAATGATTCCCATTCAGGCTATTAACAGCGCGCTGAAGATCTGAAGTTCAGAGTGCATCTGTCAGAGGTCAGACGTGTTCCAGCGGAACCACGGCTCACGGGTGCACAAGTGAGCACATCTGGGCTGGGCAGAAGTTTAAATAGCGCCAATAAGGAGACGCGGTGACTGGAGCGGCTGTGCCGCGCGCACACACACAGATTCAATAAGCGCACACGCTGCTTTAACTCCGGTGCGCCGTCAGACTGAAGGCAGAAATGAACGCTGCCTCCACCGTGATAAAAACTTTTAAGAGGTTATTTTTCATTCAAGGTCAAATTAAGATATTAGCTTCTGGGATGAGTCGGGTCCGCTCCAGCCAGTGACTCCTCATGAACCTGACTACAGCTCATGTTACTGCAGCATTTGTTATTCCAGTCCGCGTGGCAGCGGATCGCAGATTCAGCCACACCATAAAACAGCAATAAGTCGGTCTGAGGTAAAAGTGAACATCATGGCTATATCTTGTCCCCTATAGACATTTGATTACGCACAAGTAGGTGATCAGCTCAGGTTTACGCAGAGCAGAAGGAAGGAGAGCGCTCTGGTTAAACGTTCCTACTCTAAGAAAACCGTTAAATTGCATTGTTGATGTGCTACCTGGGCACTCTAAATATTTATTTAAAATGAAATCAAAGGAAATTGTAATGGTATCGAATGCTTATTAATTACTATTTAAAAAATGAAAGTGATGGGGAATTCTTTTAACCCTGTCTGTTTAGCTTGACATCTGTATATATAAAGAGCCATGCCCCGATGTGGGGGCTGGGGGGGGGGGTGCGTCGACATGGTCGGGACATAGAAGGGGGTGCGCGGCTAAATAAGTTTGGGAACCACTGTTCTAAGTAATATTTTCACCATGATTATTCATACATTCATAAATGTTAAAGTTTCCAACTAAATATTAATATCACAAGCCAAATATTTAATTTAGACTTAAATGTTTATTTTACAAATTAAATAATTAGGTCACACCAACATATTTAGTTTGTAATCTGAATATTTAACTTGGAGCAAAACATTCGCTTTACAAACTAGCTGCTGTGACTCAATATCCACATTGTGGGACATAAGAATTATTCTATTCTATTCTATTCTATTCTATTCTATTTATTTTTGCATGTTGGTGCATTTATTTTTGAAAAAACAAGACGGTTATTATTATGGTCAACTTTTATACCGGGGTTTACCGCTACACCGGTTACCGTGACAACCCTAGTGCCAGGTTAGCGTCTCTATCTGCACATGTAGGCTGTTGCTTATTACACGCTCATGAAATAATTGTGGGCTAGATCTTGCAACGTATTCGCTAGTCCTCACTTCCTGGACGTAGTGGTTGAATGTAGGGACGTCCCGTTCCGATACCGACATCGGCCCAAAAACCCGACATTAGCAGTGCGTTCCGCTGTAAATTCCATTCCAGCAGCTCCCAGATCCAGCATGCTAAGTCCACGCGATCAAAACACTGTGTGCTAGCAAAGCAGCAAGGAACAATGCTGGCCAGGTTGCTGTATTTTTCGTTAAAAAGTCAGAAAAAGACAGTTTGGCTCAGCGCAGCAGTCGTCATGCACCGGTTTGCTGTGGTGGAACAGAACCCGGGAAGATTAACACGTCCAACACCACCGCACGTTTCTTCCCTTATGTCCCTAACCTCAGCTGTTCACATTTATGCCAACAAAGCTTAATAAATAATTGTTCCATTTTTTATGCTTCCTGTTGCTGGCTTTTGTTTTCTGTTTGAGTAAAATCACTGGATCAAGCCCTGTATACATTCCACACTATACTATAAATAGGTAAACGCATGTAGGATTTGTGCGGATATCGTATCGGACCGATACTGAAGGCTGCAATATCGGTATCGTATCGGAAGTGAATACAGTTGTATATCGGGACATCCCTAGTTGAAGGGCTTACGCCTGAGGGGTGCACTCGACTTAAAGAGCTTAGCGTAACTTTCAAATCTACGTCACGACCAGCTGGTGCACTCCGCTCCCGAAGTCTAGTCTCCAGTGTGTCTTTATTTTAGAGTCAGTCTGACGGCACGAAGGTCTCACCTAACCCGTTCTCACTAGGCCCAGCCGGGCTGTCTGACTCCACAGATGCATCCATCAAGCTGGGCTCCTGGTCGTTGCGGCGGCGTCTGGACCGTCTACGGCGGTCTCCTCCCATACCATCGCTGATGTCTCCTTCAGCCAGCTCTCCCTCTCCCTCCAGCAGAGAGTAGGGGTTGCTATCAGGGTCCCTCAGAACTGGACACAACAAAAACATCAAGACTCACCTCAGACAGGTTCAACATCACAGTAAACATAGAAAGAACCTTCAGTTGTAGTTTACGCTGCGAGCTTTGGTCCTAGTCTGTCTCCACGCTCCGTTGTCATCAGTGGGGATGGGTACCTTTGACATTTGAATTGATCCAGTACTAATTCCCGGTACCTAGGAATCGATACCGGTACTTAACGGTACCAATTTTCGATACTTTTGAGTGTTTAATATTTTAATTCTCTTTTATAATTAAATATATATTTTTCTCAATATATAACCATATTTGATAAATATCACGATAAATAACTTACAAATTTTGTATTTTAACATCGTCCTTGTAGTTTTATAAGCTGATAATTAAACTGAAGCAAACATCTTTACTGTGAACTAAATTTACTGTGTATCTTCATTCCTTTTGCCGTCCTTTTTACTTTGATTTTTCCTACTGGGAAGTTAGAATTTCCAAGGAGAAAGCGAACGCACCGTTAGCTGATAACAATGGTGGCAATGGAAGCTAATTTATCAAGCTTAATAGTGAAGGATTGTTATTACTATACAATGCACTGATTCTGCCATACTTAAATTACTGTGTAGAAATCTGGGGAACTGCATATAGAACATATACACAACCTTTGTTTGTTTTGCAGAAAAAAGCAATGAGAATTATAGACAACACTCATAGTACAGCTCCATCTAATCCATTATTTATAAAATATAAAGTAATTCAATTTCATGATTTGGTCAACTGGAGAATATTGCATATAATGTATAAAGCAAATAAAGGTACATTGCCAAAGAATATTCAGCATATATTTGAAAAGAGAGATAGCAGTTATTCGTTGAAGGGATTTGAAATCTTCAAAAAACCTAGATTTAGAACAAGAATGAAGGAAATGAGTATATCTGTGAATGGTGTGAAGTTGTGGAATTGCCTGGACAGAGAATGGAAAGAGTCAAGAACTCTAAAAGTGTTCAGTCTACACATTAAATCACGTGTGTTGAGTGGATATGACAACGGACAATTGATGTGGACATAATAATTAACAAATGTGAACAGTTACGGGACTGAAAGAACTGGTGAGGGACTGCACAAATATAAACTGATATTTAAGTTTAAAAAGGGGGTAGAAATAATAAGATTTTTCTTCTATCTGCTCCCTTTCATTCAAATATATATTGTGTTTTCATGAATATTGTTTAGTATCTGTTGTGTTATTTTTTATTGAATGAAATAAAGATAATTAAAGCTAACGTTATCTTAAACAGTTTATTTAGCTGCTGGAGCAGATTAAAACGATGATGCCTCACACTTAGATCGTTGTCGCTGGTTTCATCTTCACCCAATCACCCGTCACATTTAGTAAAGTGAAGCCAAACTTTAGAGCTCGTTCATGTTCTTCTAGTCGGAAAGTCGGAGTTTCGAGGAGAAAGCGAACGCACCATTAGCGAAACGGAAGCTAACATATCAAGCTAACGTTATCTTAAACATTTTATTTACCTACCGGAGCAGATTAAGATGAGGATGTCTCACTTAGATCGTTGTCGCTGGTTTCATCATCACCCAGTTACCATCACATTTAGTGAAGTGGACCCAAGCTTTAGCGTGCGTTCTTTCTACCATGCTGCTCTGTTTACAACTGGCTCGCAGCGACCGACGACATAACGCTCTTGTGCATGCGCAGCTGTCTAGGCAAGTTCTCGTTATGAAGGACGGGTACCGAAACGAGGCACCGTTTGAAATGACGTGAATCGGTGCTCGGTCGGTACTATGGAATTCGGTCGGTACCTTAAAAAGTACCGAATTCGGTACCCATTGCTAGTCATCAGCTTCATAAACAGAACTGTTGTGCTCCAGCTTTAGGAATGTAGGAACACTTCTCATATCAATGATCACATCTATCGTGGAAGCCGTTTTGAACATGAACCTCACTCCTCCATCTGGAAGTGAACGTGGCGTACCCGAGCTGATGGAGTTGGAAGGCTTGGATCCAGACCCACCACGACCACGACCTGAGTTGGTTCCTCGGCCCCTGCCGCCCCGTCTGGAGCCTCTTTCATCACTGCCGATGCCGCGGGGTCTCTGGTCTCTCTCGATGACATCCTCAGACTCAGAAGCATTGGACTGTTCAGAGTTTGTTCCTGCGTCAGACAGAAAGGTCAAACCCAAACCTGCAGCGCTGGGTTAGAAACACGCACAAATCAAACTAGAACAGGTAGAACTTCCTTCCTTCTCACCGTGTGCGGGGTGCTGGCTGTTGGAGGCTCTCCTCCCTCGGCCACGGCCGCCGTAGGTCCGAGACGTGTGGAGCGAATTGCTGCTGTCGTCTGTCTGGTAGCCTTTCTCCCGGTCAGCACCGGGGACCCCGGGTCGGTTTAGAGGAGGTCGGTAACCAACCCCAATCTGACGGAGCTGCTCATCGATCTGGAGACGCTCGAGGCGCAGCTGCTCCACCTCCTTCAGGACACCATGAGAAAGTATTAACGTCTTCATTTGAACATCAGAATAACACTGGACAACTGTTTCAGCACGCTCACGCATTTAATGGTCGAGTTGTTCATTTTTGGCTTGTTGTTCACCTTGTTTACCACAGGGTGGCAGTAAACACTTATATTCTCCTTTTAACAGCCACCACTGAACCAACCCTCTCAGCTAAACTCTGGGGTAAGTTACTGAGCCGCCTGAGCAGCTGCAGGGAAGTTTCCACTGAAGATGGCCGGGTTCTAGACCAAGCCAGGTTCTAGACCAAGCTGGGTTCTAGAGCAGGTTCTTTGCTCACAAGTCCAGTTTAAAAACATTTACTTTGGTACTTTGTCTGCCTTCAGAACCAGGGTGAGGTCGGAGTCATTGAGACGGCACCAGTTTTAGAGCCAGAACCTTTGGTGATGGAAACAGAACCAGCTAGGATGAAGCAACTCCGTCCTCGATTCAGAACTAGAACTTGTGTGGTGGAAAAACTCGGGTCTGTGTTCTGCCTCAGCATAACTGAATCAAATGTTAACAGTTTGAGTCCACGTGGAGAAGTTGGAGGCTAAGAGGGTGGTGCTGTGGGGGGGGGGGGGGTGGGGGGGGGGTGAGGCGTCCGACAGCTGACTCTACCAATGACAGCTGAAACTCGGGGGAGGTGAGAAGGAAGAGAGACAGAGCAGGGGGTGTTTAGAGCCATTTTTAGAGGCTAAGGGTCCACATAGCTGGTAATCAACACCACGGTGTCCCATTCACCCCCCACCCCCACAGAGAAGACCATTTATAAAACCACATTAGGTAAGGGTAAAACGAGGTGGTCTCAGCAACTTCCTTCGTGCGGCAGGAGATGTGTGACCAGTACAACCGACCGACTGATAACCCCCCCCACACACACACACGCACCTAAAAGGGGGCTTCCTAGAAATGTTTCTGGCATCCTAGTAAGGGCACACGCTGACAGAACACACAGCAAACATGGCCGTCAGGACAGACCGGGTTAGAGACGCCGTCTGCCGGGAGAACCCACCTGAAGGTATGACACGTGGTACTCCAGCAGAGCTTGAGCATTACTGATGTTTTCTTTAGTTCCCACAAACACGAAGGGAACCATCCCCTGATTAAACACAAGACGGGCAGTTAGGATGTCTCGTTCTCAGCGAGTTCCCTGGAAACAAAACTTACGATTCACATTCAACAAGAGCAAGACGGACTGCAAAGGGCTCAGACTAAACCATGATTTAAGAGGATTGTGTTTGTTAAAAGCAATGATGCTGAAGGAAGAAGCAGCAGAATGAACCAGAGCACGCAGGATGTTAGGGATAGTGGCTTTGCTTATTCTGGAGGGCGGAGAAGACGGGCGGCGGTTGCAGGGTGCTGGGAGACCAGCCGAGCGGTCCATTCACCTCTTTGCTGCCGACAGTGTCGTCCCTGCCAGCCCCCTGCCTGCCTACCTCCTCCCGCGGCAGCTTTTTGTCGTTGTCTCCTTCAATCCTGACGCGAACCACACCTGACTTGTCCACTATTTCCTGAATGACTTTGCCATTTTTACCAATGACTTTGCCTGCGCAAAAAAGCAAACACGCGTCAAAGCGAGTGAGCACACGTGTCATAATGGTACAGTAATGGCAACGGTGACAGCCCCACAAAGAGCTGATCAGACGAATCCTGCTGCTCCCTCACCTACGAGGTTCCTGGGTACTTGAAAGTGGTCCTCTTTGAACTCGAGGTACTCACGAGCCTGCTTCACAGCCTCTGGAGTCTGAAGATCAATGAAAAGACACTTGAAAGGTGTTCAACATTTAAATGTGGATAAAGATCCATGCTGTAGTTCTTTCTTAAAACACAGAACAGTTTTGTTACCTGTCTTCCCGCTACGATTCGTCTGCGTTCGCAGACGAATCGTAGCGGGAAGACAGGTAACAAAACTGTTCTGTGTTTTAAGAAAGAACTACAGCATGGAGTTAGAAATATGACACAGCAAGAACACACCTAAGATGTGGATAAAGTTGATCAACAACAGCAATCAGAAATAGCTTTTAACACTTAAACAGTTACTGAGCATAACCCCAAACAACTCAACAGTAACACCATCATTTCTCAGCAGAAGATCGTCTTCGGTTGAACCTGCATCTGAACTTTTGAGCCTGATTCGTGCTTCTCCGTCTGCGTCAGCGCGGAGACACGCAACGCCATTATCCGTCCTTGCGTAGCGCCCCCGCCAGGCACGCAAGTACGTACGGAGTCGAGCCCGCTTTTTTTAAACATCCGTCGAACGAGACGAAGAACGCAAGCTTGTGATTGGTCGGGACGCCGCTGTTGTTGGATTGCTCCCTCAAAAACATAGTCGAGGATAACAAGCGGCAGACATGGAGAAGGTTGAAGAATACCTCGCGAAAAAACTCTAAAAACATGAACGTTTAGTCCCCCGTGACTGGAGGAGTGAAAAGATGTGCAGCAAGTGTTTTATTTGTGGACGGAAATAACAGGAAACGTGGGTTTAGAGGTGGCGAGCGCATGAAGAGGTGGAGGGGGGATGAGAGACAAATATGTCCGTGTTAACTCATTCACTGCCAATGACGACTAAAGTCGTCATTTTAGATGCGACCGTTCACTGCCAATGACGACTAAAGTCGTCATTTTAGATGCGACCGTTCACTGCCAATGACGACTAAAGTCGTCATTTTAGATGCAACCGTTCACCGCCAATGACGTCTAAAGTCGTCATTTTAGATGCAACCGTTCACCGCCAATGACGTCTAAAGTCCGTCATTTTAGATCCAACCGTTCACCGCCAATGACGTCTAAAGTCCGTCATTTTAGATGCAACCGTTCACCGCCAATGACGACTAAAGTCGTCATTTTAGATCCGACCGTTCACTGCCAATGACGACTAAAGTCGTCATTTTAGATGCAACCTTTCACCGCCAATGACGTCTAAAGTCGTCATTTTAGATGCAACCGTTCACCGCCAATGACGACTAAAGTCGTCATTTTAGATGCGACCGTTCACTGCCAATGACGACTAAAGTCGTCATTTTAGATGCGACCGTTCACCGCCAATGACGTCTAAAGTCGTCATTTTAGATGCGACCGTTCACCGCCAATGACGTCTAAAGTCGTCATTTTAGATGCGACCGTTCACCGCCAATGACGACTAAAGTCGTCATTTTAGATGCGACCGTTCACTGCCAATGACGACTAAAGTCGTCATTTTAGATGCGACCGTTCACTGCCAATGACGACTAAAGTCGTCATTTTAGATGCGACCGTTCACTGCCAATGACGACTAAAGTCGTCATTTTAGATGCAACCGTTCACCGCCAATGACGACTAAAGTCGTCATTTTAGATCTGACCGTTCACTGCCAATGACGTCTAAAGTCGTCATTTTAGATGCGACCGTTCACCGCCAATGACGACTAAAGTCGTCATTTTAGATCTGACCGTTCACTGCCAATGACGTCTAAAGTCGTCATTTTAGATGCGACCGTTCACCGCCAATGACGCCTAAAGTCGTCATTTTAGATCTGACCGTTCACTGCCAATGACGTCTAAAGTCGTCATTTTAGATGCGACCGTTCACCGCCAATGACGTCTAAAGTCGTCATTTTAGATGCAACCGTTCACCGCCAATGACGTCTAAAGTCGTCATTTTAGATGCGACCGTTCACCGCCAATGACGTCTAAAGTCGTCATTTTAGATGCGACCGTTCACCGCCAATGACGACTAAAGTCGTCATTTTAGATGCAACCGTTCACCGCCAATGACGTCTAAAGTCGTCATTTTAGATCTGACCGTTCACTGCCAATGACGTCTAAAGTCGTCATTTTAGATGCGACCGTTCACCGCCAATGACGCCTAAAGTCGTCATTTTAGATGCAACCGTTCACCGCCAATGACGTCTAAAGTCGTCATTTTAGATCTGACCGTTCACTGCCAATGACGTCTAAAGTCGTCATTTTAGATGCGACCGTTCACCGCCGATGACGTCTAAAGTCGTCATTTTAGATGCGACCGTTCACTGCCGATGACGTCTAAAGTCGTCATTTTAGATCTGACCGTTCACTGCCGATGACGTCTAAAGTCGTCATTTTAGATCCGACCGTTCACCGCCGATGACGTCTAAAGTCGTCATTTTAGATCCGACCGTTCACCGCCGATGACGTCTAAAGTCGTCATTTTAGATCCGACCGTTCACCGCCAATGACGTCTAAAGTCGTCATTTTAGATCTGACCGTTCACCGCCAATGACGTCTAAAGTCGTCATTTTACATCCGACCGTTCACCGCCGATGACGTCTAAAGTCGTCATTTTAGATCCGACCGTTCACCGCCAATGACGACTGTCATTTTAGATCCAACCGTTCACCGCCAATGACGTCTAAAGTCGTCATTTTAGATCCAACCGTTCACCGCCAATGACGACGACTAAAGTCGTCATTTTAGATCCAACCGTTCACCGCCAATGACGTCTAAAGTCGTCATTTTAGATCCAACCGTTCACCGCCATTGACGACGACTAAAGTCGTCATTTTAGATCCAACCGTTCACCGCCATTGACGACGACTAAAGTCGTCATTTTAGATCCAACCGTTCACCGCCATTGACGTCTAAAGTCGTCATTTTAGATCCAACCGTTCACTGCCATTGACGTCTAAAGTCGTCATTTTAGATCCAACCGTTCACCACCAATGACGTCTAAAGTCGTCATTTTAGATCCAACCGTTCACGCCATTGACGTCTAAAGTCGTCATTTTAGATCCAACCGTTCATTTGCATTTTTTTACTGTTTGAGCATCGGAACGAGCCCCTGCGCTGAGAGAACAAACATCTCAGCCCTGAAGCCGATCTTCATCCGCATACGTCACAGATCACATGATCAGGAAGCAACACATCCATGTGTTTGGAGATCGTTTTGGGCCGTTCCTGTAAAAAAATTGAGGAGCGAACCGGAAAAGCGTCTGGTGATCACAATTCGACAACAGATTATGAAAGAAAGGATAACGCTCGAAACACGCAGCTTCTTCCTGATGTAAGAGATGAGTCTCCTCTTTGTTTTGGTTGTTTTGGCGTCGACATCATGCTAGCGCGCAACGTTCTGTGACTCTTAAAAAAACAGTAAAAACGGTGAGAAACGCTGGCAGCGAAGGCCGTTAGTGATCAGGAAACGGCTGGAAAGTCTCTTATATACAAAAACACAATACAAACTCACTATCTTGGACCGAAACATGACGGGATACCACAGAACAGCGCTACGCCCTCTGCTGTCCTGGCGGGGAATTGCTTTGCAACGCTCTCCAGGAGACGGAGAAGTATGAGAGCAAAACGCTTCCGTCAATCGGTGCGTGTCTGTCCCTTGCGGAGCTGACGGAGAAGCATGAACCAGGCTTTAGGTGTCTCTCCAGCGCGCTCTTAAGTCACACTCTGCTGAGTGAAAGCTAGAGTAGGCGACTATCAACAGCAGCTGCTGCTGCCGTTTTCAACACTCTTATTTCTCTCCACTAGCCGTTCAGTAAAACACAACACCAGGATGTTTATGTTCGTATTAGATTTACTTCACACGGGTGACTGAAGTGGCTCACCTCCCCATAGATCCTGAATGTGCAGCTCTCCTCTTCCAACTCGATAGCTGTAACACCCGGAACCTTCCTCGCCTGTTGGATGTTGGCACCGTGGGAGCCGATGGCAAGGCCCATGAGATCTTCTCTGACTCGTACCTCCTCTTGGTACGCTGACGCCAACTGCTTACTGGTCTAAAACAGAAAAACAAACAGATCCAGCAAATAAATCACTGAATGTTGGCAGCAAAGTGTATTTCTACTGAAGCTGTGTTCAGGTCACACGGGCGTGTTTACCTCCAGATGTTTGGTGGCTTCCTCGTTACGTGACATTAAGATAAGTTTGGTACGGATGCTGCGGAAATGCATGTCGCTCAGGAGAGCGGCACGCTTCACCGTGGTCTCGTTTGTAGACTAGTAAAGAGAACACAAAGAGCTTCAAACAAATGTTAAATAATTAGTGGAGAACACGAGGAGCTCGGAACCCAAACAGAATCCACTTCGGTCTTCAGAGTCAGCGTACTAGATAAACAAGACCAGTGAGGTGTACAATGTTTACCGAAATCTAAACTAGAGGATATACGTGGATTCCTGCACACGATTAAAGAGCAAGTCACCCTACCAGATTCTTACTCAACTCTAGAGGTGGGAAAAATGATCGATTCTAAGATGCATCGCGATTCAGCCGTGCATGATTCTGCATCGATGCGGCAACGTGACATAATGAGATTTTCTCCCTATGTCTATGTCTATGTTTATGTCTATGTCTATGTTCTGGACGTGCGAGGACAATAAAGTTTTGAGGTTTTATAATTACTTCTGGGGGCAGAGTTGAAATGACATGCGCACTGCGTTGCCCTAGCGCCAATTTAAAACAGAAAAGGTGGACAGGGATACAGGGCCAACATCACCAGTAATCAAAGATGTACCCGTTACATTTAAATCTGATGTCTGGGCTAATTTGGGTTTTGGGATCCTGGATGTGAAAGAATCACTTAACACAGTATTTGTTTACTATTTTTAAGTTCAGTAATATTCTATCTTAAAGCTGCTCTACAGAAAACATTATTTCTTATATTATTTAAGTAATTATAGGCAGCACACTTTAAACATTATTGCTCACTATAGTGAATAGATGAATGTTCTGTTTTTCAGGGATTTCGAAATCAAAAAGAAATTGAAAACTATTCTACTGCTTTTATTAAGTAATGAACATTTTTGTGTGAAGAATCGTGATGCATTTCAGACTCAAATCGAATCTTTAGGCAAATAATCGGAATCGGATCGAATCGTGAGGCAGGTAGAGATGCACACCACTAGTCAACTCCCACTTCCTGTTTGAAAAATGCAACAAATGCTGTTGCCTAGCAGACCGAGAGGGTGGAGCCGCTAACAAATACACACACACTCACGACATTGTGACATCATAGTGTACCTCTTAGCCAATAGCGATGGCAGATTTAAAGTTTTTACCTGACGACAGTGCATCGCTGACAGTTTTAGGCAGAATATTTAAATTTGAACTAAAATGCTGAATTATTGACTACACATGTCTACAGCACGATCACACACTCATTTATATAGTTTATCAGCAAAAAAATGTTGATTTGGAGTGACTTGCTCTTTAAGTTAGTTTCTACAACCTCCATCTGAGAGTTAGAGCCTGAAGCTAGAACACCAACCAGCACAATGAGCTCGTGCGTTTGGGCGCTGTAGAAGATGCAGTTGGCTCCAATAGCTTTCCTGAAGTCTTTGTGGACGTCATCGTTCGCACATCTGTAAAAAAAGGAAAAAAGGTTCATTAGTCTTTGAGTTGAGAGAATAATTCTGCTTCTACTTCAGGAAGGAATACACACATGCCAGACCTCTCATGTGTGAACAACTAAACAGGTTTGTTATTTCCAGCAGACTCACATCTCCCTCAGGTCTTCTGGGACGGCGACTGTGACCTTGTGGAAAGCATTTCGAGTGGCGGGGCTGTTGGGATTGAGAGGCCTGATGCGCTCCGACGTGACGATCTCGTTGTATGTGGCGTCACACGCTGCATATTCTATTACATAAAACTGAAAAGAAAAACACATTTCATATTTTATCAGAAATGCTCAAGTCAGGGTGCAGTGGTTAGCGTTGTTGCCTTGCAGCAACAAGGTCCTGGGTTCAAATCCCAGCCTGAGGTCTCTCTGCAAGGAGTCTGCATGTTCTCCCTGTGCATGCGTGGGTTCTCTCTGGGTACTCCAGGTATTGCCCACAACCCAAAAACATGACTGTCAGTGTGACTGGTCTGTCTTAACTTCTCCTTAGGTGTGTGTGTGCGTGTGTGTGTCCGGTGTGTCTTTGTGTTGCCCTGCGATGGACTGACTCTCTGTCCAGGGTGTACCCCGCCCGTTTGCTCATGACTGCTGGAGAAAGGCACCAGCCCCCTGCGACCCTGCATGGACTAGTGGGTATAGAAAACGGATGGATGGATATTAAAATTGCTCAAACTTGAAGCGGTCACATGACACAGTTGTCAGAAGTCGGAGAGAATTGTAGAAAAGAAATCCAAACATCTAACAACCATTTCATTGGACTAGTCCTGATTTTGAAGTGAAAGACATCCCAAGATTAACAGGAATCAATTGTTCTTCAATGTTCTAGGCTTTACTGAGAGCTGTGATCAAGTGCTCCGATTGGCTCAAATTGTTGCCTCCTTAGGGGCCACATGTGGCTCCGGGGCCATCAGTTGACAGACTGATGTAAAGAATAGAGAGCACTGGCTAACTGGATAGATGAGGAGAGGTGTTGATGGTCCAGTCTGATGAGACCCTGTTCGTCTCCTTGCTGCACTCAAATACTGATCAGAAGGTTTTGGCTTTGTTAGGGACAAACGAATCATTGATTTAAACAATGGTGTGATGAGAATGGACCTCCTGAACTGGTGAGTAAGATAACACAGAAATGCTGCCACTCTACAGGAACTGCCCCCGATGACCACGCAATGTTGCAGAGACATGTCAACCATGACAGTCCTACAACATCCATAGCCTTGAGATATGCCAGGACAGATCTCATCCAGCACTGGGGCTCTGCTGCTATGCAGTTGTTTGACTACCTCATCAACGTCTGCCCCAAAGATTGAAAAGTCCATTCCCTGACCTCCCAGAGAGTGGAACAGGGTCCATTTGGACTCAATGTCCCCCACTGCTCTCGGGATGCAGTGGAAGCTCTGCCGAAGGCGAGAGTTTAAGACCATCTCGACAGGTTCTTCTGCCAGGCGTTCCCAGCAGATCCTCACTATACATTTTAACCTTCCAGGTCTGCGTGGCATCTTTCCCTGCCATCTGATCCAGCTCAACACCAGGTGGTGATCAGCTGACAGTCTTCACCCAAGTGTCCAAGTCGTCGTCTTCCTCCGCTTATCCGGGTCGCGGGGGCAGCATCCCAACTAGGGAGCTCCAGGCCGTCCTCTCCCCGGCCACCTCCACCAGCTCCTCCGGCAGGACCCCAAGGCGTTCCCGGACCAGATTGGAGATGTAACCTCTCCAACGTGTCCTGGGTCGACCCGGGGGCCTTCTGCCGGCAGGACATGCCTGAAACACCTCCCCAGGGAGGCGTCCAGGAGGCATCCTGACCAGATGCCCAAACCACCTCAACTGACTCCTTTCGATCCGGAGGAGCAGCGGTTCTACTCCGAGTCCTTCCTGAATGTCCGAGCTCCTCACCCTATCTCTAAGGCTGAGCCCGGCCACCCTACGGAGGAAACTCATTTCGGCCGCTTGTATCCGCGATCTCGTTCTTTCGGTCATTACCCAAAGCTCATGACCATAGGTGAGGATTGGGACGTAGATCGACCGGTAAATCGAGAGCCTGGCTTTCTGGCTCAGCTCCCTCTTCACCACGACAGATCGGCTCAGCGTCCGCATCACTGCAGACGCCGAACCAATCCGCCTGTCGATCTCCCGATCCCTCCTACCCTCACTCGTGAACAAGACCCCGAGATACTTAAACTCCTCCACTTGAGGTAGGACCTCTCTCCCGACCCGGAGTTGGCAAGCCACCCTTTTCCGGTCGAGAACCATGGTCTCAGATTTGGAGGAGCTGATCCAAATCCCAACCGCTTCACACTCGGCCGCGAACCTACCCAGCAAGAGCTGAAGTGTCCAAGTCCAATAACAAAACTCCACTCGAATTTAGATTGGGCAGTCCATTCCCCCCATTCACGCCCTTCCAGGTCAGGCTGCCATAAGAACAAAATGACGGACAGAACTCATTCCCCACCCTGAAGGCACAGGGAAGCTACCCTCTTGTCCCCCAGGGATATACCCTAACATACATGCTGAGAGTTTTGGGGGCTAACAGAAAGCCAACCCTCGCTCTTCAACTCTCACCCGGAGCAACTCCAGCAAAGAGTCCAACCCCTCTCAAGGACTTGGATTCCAAAACCAATTCTATGTGTCGGGGCTTGTCTGACTATATCTAGCCAGTATCGTTCAACCTCTTCCATAAGTTCCAGCTACTTTCCTGCCAAAGAGGTGACGTTCCATGTTCCAATAGCCAGTTTCCTTGTTTGGGGATTGGACCACCAAAGCTCCTGCTTTAGTCTGCTGCTACCTGATCCACAATGCACCAGACCCTTCATGTTCCTCCTGCAGGTGGCGAGTCCATAGTTGGATGAGCCCATGCATCTCGTTTGGGCTGGGCCACATGAGCGAAAGCCTGGCCTGCAGGGACTCGCTCATGGGCGGGTCCCCGGTAACCCTCCAGGCCGGGGTCCTCTTCGGTTTAACAATCATGAAGGGTTCTCTTAACCACTCTTTGTCTCACTCTTGAGTGCTTCCCCTCCACAGGCTCAGGCCGAAGCTTTCACAAATAAAATGTCCACAATCTTCTACTGGGGGGGGGGGGTCCCTGAACCCACCCTAGTTTAATACTCATCTTTTTCATGTCTGCTCTTGGGTGCACACCTTGTGGTAGAATAAGAACCGAGTGTGTGTGTGTGTGTGTGTGTGTGTATATATACTATACACTTCACAAAAGTTTGCTATGCCCTATCCCCCCCACACAGACGGAACGTGGCAGCAAAACGGTCCCGAGTGCGCACGACCCCCCTCTCCTGGCCAACGCACGGCACCGAAATGGTTACATGAATAATTTTTGGGTTACTCGCTTTACTACATCAACAATTGTTTCATATTGGTTATTTATTTGACTTTCAGCAACCACTCACCTCTCCCTTCATCATCCTGACCCGAGCCAGCCACCACCCACACGGTTCCTGTTCATTGGCCCGAGAGTAAACCTACAGGGAGGCAGAGATTCAGAACACATCTTTCTAATCGACCATCTACAGATCAGGAGTGTGTGTGTGTTTCAGTGTGTCTAAATTCCAACTTATAAGAAAAAAGCTAAACATAAGCTGAGCTCTAAGTAATCCATTCTCCTTACCCAACTGAAAACAATTCGCTAACAAATACTTTAGAGAGCTACGCTCACTTTTACTGTGTAAGATGAGTTTAGTGAGAACTGTGGTCAGGAAGTCAGATGAGAGTAAATGAAAGCAGGTCTTACCTCCACCTCCTCTCCTTCACCGATGTCTTTGTGGTAGTCGGCTGGAGGGGGCAACCGTACGTCGCTGAAGGGTAACTGTCTCTCTGGCTGCCAGCTGAAGATGGAAAATGGAAATTTTACATTTAACTGAAGTATCAACAAAAAATGACATTTGAGCCTCCTTAATGGGGACAATCTGGGTATTTTTAACATTTTAAAGTTAAAGTCCCATTAGTTGTCACACACACAGGTGTTCTCCGCATTTGACCCATCCCCTGGGGGAGCGGTGAGCTGCAGACACAGCCGCGCTCAGGAACCATTTGGTGGTTTAACCCCCCAATCCAACCCCTTAATGCTGAGTGTCAAGCAGGGAGGCATTGGGTCCCATTTTTTCAAAGTCTTTGGTATGACCCGACCAGGAGTCGAACCCTGATCTCCCAGTCTCAGGGCGGACACTCTACCACTAGGCCACTGAGAAAGGTAAAAAACATTGAATAAACAGTTTACTATTTAAGACGCTTTGGGATGAGGAGGCTAAAACCAACCAAACGAAAAGTTCCTGAAGCCTTCGGTCATAATTAAAGGAGCACTGTGGCTGCAGAGTTACCCATGTCAGCTCAGGTATAAACCCTCATTAACCCTGCACTGGCAGGCAGGGTAAAACAACCGTCTTGTGTGTTTAGCTACATATTATTGTTCAGCACATTGAATTCTTTAAATTAAACTTGGTTCTTTGTGGTTATAAATTCACCAACAACTAGAGAATTAAAATAAACGGCTACATTAACTGAAGATGTTTGTAGTGATGCTAGTCTGTTGTGGTGACTAGTTCCAACTATCACCGATGGTCATGTGGTCTGGTTAATGACCACAACAACCAGGTAGTGAATGCAGAGGCGATGAGTTTCCTTCTCAGGCTGGGCTCGGAGCAGGGGGCATTGGGGGGGTGCTCTAGTAGAGCTGTTGCTCATCAAGCCTCCTGAACATGACCGGGAGCTGTTTGAAGGCCGTCTCTCCAGAAGGTGACACCGGGGTGGCCCTGAGACACACTGGGGGATCTACACCTGTAGGCAGACCTGGAAATGCTTTGGGATCCTTTTGCATGAGCCGGGGAAGCTGGGCAGGAAGAGACATGGACGTCATTCTGATTTCAAAGTGTTTCCGTTACAAAAAGTGAGAGGAACCCAAATGTTTTTCCTGTGTATTGTCGTAGTGGTGGAGTGAGTGAGGGAGAAGTTAACGATCCCAATTTTATACCAATTAGACCTCATTTACATACAGTTGCACCTCATTTCAACTAAATAAGTAGAAATCATGAAAGGACAAAAACGGGGAGACAGGTGTTTCAGTAGGACTGCGTTTATAACGCGTTTATAACGTGACGTGTTTCCTAACAGTTAACAACAGAGCTGGACAGTCTGTGGGGCATCATCTCATGCTGAAGCAGTTCAGACATCGGACTCATCCACGCTGTCCTGTCTCACAGCAAATGTCTCTGAATCACTGTCATCACGGAGGAAGTCAAAGAGGAGGGGGCTGGAAACCATCCCAAAAATGAGACAGGCTATCAGAGCCCCCCCCACCTCACATACCTTCTAGCACTATTTTTAGGAGGACACCCCCCTCCAGACTCTCTCTCTGAGCCAAGTGGGACCAGAGGGACACAGGAAAAGGAAAGGAAGCCACATGTATGGTAGGGATGGCAGAGGACAGAGCTGCAGGTCATTAGAGACGTCAAAAGACAGCTGCAACTCATGCACAGGTGCTGTGGGGGGCCTGAGGGTTAAAATACCCAAGACCTGGTCCAGGATCAGTCCTTCCTTAGTCCAACCAGCATAAGACGGAAACCAGACACTTACTTGTTTTCAAATACAATCGTGAGCGAGTCTTCGTGGACATCTTTGATAAAACCCTGAAACACAAACAGAAACACAACTTTAGTCTCAGATTTAAAAGGGGCGGAGCTTAGTGGCTTCAACACTGATGGCTAACTGCACTACACCAGTGCTAGAACAAAAATGAGCGTCTAAGGCCTTTGGAGAGACCTCACTGACACAATTCTCTCTGGCTGATGGAGGAAAGGGAAGCTGGTGCCCACTAACACTATTAAGATAATGACTCCTTGCTTTGTGTTTACATCTGATCTACATTTACGTGACGTATCACGTGTTTAAACATGTAGAAGACGGTGGTTTCTGATTCTGCCGGCCCGACACCAGAGCAGCTTTGACCATCCACGAGTCTGTCACATCAAGCATGCTCACACCCAATGGTGAGTAGTAACTAAACAAGGAAAAGAAGGGCGTGGCCTGTGGAGTGACACGACCATATATGTATACGACAGTAAAGTCAGATAGAGTCTTCAGCTGCTTCGGAACGCTGGTGGGGCTTCACCTGCAGGTTAGGTGACGCCTTCACAGAGGAACCTAATCCGAGACGCAGATGCTCCACCCTGATGGACGCGTCACAGGTTGTCCAGATGTGGATAAACAAGGTCTGTCTCTTATGTTGCTGGAAGTTTGAACAACATTTACAACTTCTATGTGGTTTTGGTCAGTCATAAAATTAAAGGAATGTTAGATCACTTCAGGAAGGATTGAAGAACAAACTGTAATTCAAATCACCCAAAAACATGGAGAAATGTTTGAAAGGCTGTGTTGAGAAAGAGAAAATATTCCAGGACACAATCCATCCAAACTCCAAAGAAACCAGTTTTAACGTTCTTCACTGTGTTGGTCTCTCAGGAGAACGTCTGAGGCTCTGGTTTGGGTTGTTGCACTATGATGAAGAAGAGCGATGGGGCGACGGTGGCACAGGAGTTAAGTGCTTGCCCCGTAATCGGAAGGTTGCAGGTTCGAGTCCCGCTCAGTCTGTCGCTGTCGTTGTGTCCTTGGGCAAGACACTTAACCCACGTTGCCTGCTGGTGGTGGTCCGAGGGACCGGTGGCGCCAGTGCTCGGCAGCCTCGCCTCTGTCAGTGCGTCCCAGGGCAGCTGTGGCTACATCGTAGCTCATCCCCACCAGTGTGTGAATGGGTGTGTGAATGGGTGAATGACTGATTGTGTTGTAAAGCGCCTTGGGGGGTTCCAGGACTCTAGAAGGCGCTATATCAAATACAGGCCATTTAAGAGATTTCACTAAGCCATGTTGGGAAAGCTCTTACATAAAAACAAACAAAAAGTCTAAATTAGAGGTTTTCACGAGTTTTCAGTATTTTTTCTCCAAAAATAAAGATTATAATCAACTTACGCACACAGAGTAAAACCCCTCAACATTTTGGTCTGTGACCATATTTGTTTTCAGATTCACTTTGATGAGACCAATTTTATTCTGTTATCTTAACTTCAACCTCTTTAATGTCAGTAGTTTCAAGCTCAAGTGTTCCACGATGCTTCCACAGCCTAACTCTAATCCAGCGGTTCCCAAACTTATTTAGCCGTGCACCCCCTTCTATGTCCCGACCATGTCGACGCACCCACCAGCCCCACATCAGGGCATGGCTCTATATATATATATATATATATATATATATATATATATATATATATATATATATATATATATATATATATATATATATATATATATATATATATATATATATATATATATATATATATATATATATATATATATATATATATATATATATATATATATATATATATATATATATATATATATGTATATATCAGACGTCACGTTAAACCAGGGGTCGGCAACCTGTTCCCATCAAAGAGCCATTATTACCCGTTTCCCACAGTAAAGAAAACACTGGGAGCCACAGCAGCTGCGGCGTTGTGGGCGGGGCCTACCCTCAGACAGCAGAGAGCTGCTTTAACCAATCACAACAGGTGACAGCAGCCAGTACCGGTCGCTTGTGTACGTCAAAGTTATCTTTCATAAAACGATAATCAATAAAACGATTTATATAAAGTGGATCCAGAAGTTGTAGCCCATCTTTGCTACAATGTTTAGATATTTTTCACCCTGTTGGTGGTTTTACTGAGCAGGTGCCACTTTTGTCATACGTTTCTTTTTAAAACATGTTTAGACTGTTCAGAATACAAATCCAGGCTCTGTCACGTTTGATTGTTGTAATTAAACTTTGTAGGTGGGGAAGGTCAGAAAAGGATCCGATCATTTTGTTTTTCCCTCATTTACAGTGACGGAGACAACGGCGCAGTGCGCCTGGCTCTGGTGTTAATCAAGTTTAATTTTATCTCTTTGCAACAATTTTCACAAGAAAACAGAACAGTTTAAAGCAGGGCTTGTGTTGACCGGATAGTTCCCGTGTTTGACCGTTTATTTTGACGGAGAAAGAATAGAAAGAATTACCCCGACGCATGCAGACGAACTGACATTTTATCCGCTACGCACATTGCAGATGTAGCTAAATAACCCAAGAAAAGATTCCCATCTGAACATCTCGCAGCTCGCTGTCAGCGTGTACTACATAAGGTGCACAACGAGCTGAAGGTGTGGAGAGGGGCTTGGAGCGCGTCGCAGAACCAGAGCGCATGCGGGAAGATTCCTCCGACTGAAGAGAGACTTGTCACTTAGAAAATGTTCCTGATGATGAAACTTTGGCTGAATAGCGCTTGTTCCTGTCTCCAATGTGGCGACACATCCAGGAGCCGTCTGAGGAGAATCCCAGAATCTCACATCCTCTTCAGCTCAGAAAGCGCATATGATTACACACAAGAGTGACGCGTCAACCCGGTCTCACAGTAAGACCGGGTTGGACCTGTTCAGGTTTACGCAGACAATCTTTACATTTAGAATTAGCTTACAGATGTAAAATTAATGCAGTAAAATATAAAGCATTTTATTTAAATATCCATTCATTATTTTACAAGCACAGAGAGCCGCATCTGACGGATGGAAGAGCCGCGGGTTGCCGACCCCTGAGCTAGGGCATATGCGGAGGACGCACGCACACGCACGCGCACGCACACGCACACACACACACACACAAATTATATTTGGCTGAGTCCAGATGAGCCAAGTAAGGTAAGGCAAGGAAATGCCATCAGAGGAGCCATCTGTCCCGGCAGCATCAGGTCTTCCACACTAGCCCCAGCTTTCCACTGGAGCCGTCAGCAGCACGTCTTGCTCGCGTAAACTGCTGCTTGGCCCTTCCCACGAGACGCGAAGCAGCAGGGGAGCAGCTGTCACCGACAGAGCACGAAGTCACACGAGTGACTTCATCAGTAAACACAACAACAAGCAGGAGAAAACTACAACATGGTTTGTGTTTTATGTTCTGTCCGTTTTATAATCACCAATACGAACCTGAAAAACAAAGGAGACCGCTAGCTAGGTGATAACTTCTCACAGGGCCGCACAGTCAGTAACTTTTTTTTAAAGTAAAGCAACTGGAAGGCAGTACGTTTCTTTATTCTGAAAATCTTGGGAGCTTCGCTCCGTTTCCGCATCCGATTTCCTGTCTTTCCTTCCCCAAAAATGTCGAACTTGACCCGTTTCAGAGGCGTCGTGCGTGGAAAATAGAACCGACGCGTAAAGGCCGCGACATGATGCTCCTGAGACGCGGCCGACTCGCGCTGCTGACGGCTCCGGTGGAAGGACGGGGTAAGTCAGGGCGCTCAGTGGAGGGGGAGCATAGACCCCCACCTCCACTTAAACGCCACCTGTAGAGCGCCCAGGAAGCTACAGTCGACCCCCGCCCCTGGGGCAGAGGGCCCCTAAAGAGGAAACAGGATTAAAATGAGTAAAAATATGAAAACAAAAGAGGTAATATAAGGGACAAAAGTTAGAAAGTAAGTAATAAATAAAATCATATAGACAGTAAAATAATATTAAATAATGAAACTGTGCTAAAATTGAATCATGTAAAACGAGAAATAAAACTGTAGTAAATATTTGGTTAAAAGCTAACCTAAAGAGGTGGGTCTTGAGCCTGGACTTAAAAACATGAACGTTCTCTGCGGCCCTGAGGTCCTCTGGCAGCTCGTTCCAGAGGCGAGGGTCATAACACTGGAAGGACGCCTCGCCGTGAGTGTGTGTCCTGACTTTAGGGATGACCAGGAGACGCCTGCCAGAGGAGCGCAGAGGCCGTGGGGGTTCATACGGTAAAAGCAGTTCTGAGAGATAAGAAGGCCCGAGACCGTTAAGACACTTAAAAACCATTAGAAGAACCTTAAAATTGATCCTGAAACATACGGGGAGCCAATGCAGCGATTCTAAAACCCGAGTGATGTGCTCCCGCCTCCTGGTCTACATCAGGACACGTGCTGCTGAGTTTTGTAGAAGTTGTAAGCCTGAGATGCTCTTTTTGGGAAGACCAGAAAACAGGGCATTGCAGTAGTCTATCCTACTGGTGATACAAGCATCAGCATCTCCGTATCGGCCCGAGAGAGAATGGGTTAAGCATCAGTTTGTAAAGCAAACCTTTAAATATTTTTTTCACCGTCAACTTGACTTCAAACCCTTTGTGTTTTGAAACTAGAACATGATGTTAGAGCAGCTGAAGCTCTGATTTCACACCTTAATTCATTATGCACTCCTTACTAAAAAGCTCGTTTAAAGGCATTCTGCACACAAAAACATGGAAGTGCAACGTAATACTGTCACTTTGCTGAATTTATGTAAATGGTCAAATCAGATCAATATAAAATATTTAGAGGAAACAACCTGTTCAGCTGCCTATCTACAGACTGGGGTTGACTGACTATATCAGAACTTCTTCCTACTCATTAGTGGTCGCCGGTTTTGGCTGCTTGATAATAAAAGTTAATCAAACATTTCCTTCCCCTCAGGTGAAAACACACCATGCAGAGCTCTTCTAAATGACAGTGACTAGTGATGCCATGAACACAGGCAGAAGAGATAGAGTTCACTTTTTAAGGAGACTAGTGGTCCAAATGTTCATCAGCAGGTTACAGTTGTGCTTTTTAGAGATGACAACTCCTAAAAGTATAACTTGGGCCTAATTTACTTTCATCAAACTGAAATGAATAAAAATGTATAACATCCTACTTATTTAGAACAAAGAAAGCACAAACTCAACTTCTACTGATCAGAAAGCATGGATACACAGAACTGTAATGAGAAGAGTTGCTACAGGAGCCTGGTGTGTATTGTGCCTCATTCTGCCACCTTGACTTGTGCTGATGTTTTTATACCACCTTTTAGGGTTCTACACAACACAACCGGTCACTGGTGGTGGTGGTGACCCGAAGCACAGCTGCTCTGGGGCACACTAACAGAGGTGAGGCTGCCAAACGCAGGCACCAGCAGTCCCTCCGACCACCAGCAGGCAAGGTAGGCCAAGTGTTGGACAAATACACAAACATGACCAACTGAACGGGACTCGATGCCGCAACCCTCCGGTTGACAAGATGGGCATTTAACTAGTATGGCCACCATCATCCCCATCCAGAAGGGAAAACTGAGTTAAACACGATGTTAAAGAATTAGATCAAATAAGCCGTTTGTTGATCATTTGGAACTAAACCTTAAACTGCAGAGCGTAAGTAGTCATTTCATCCTGCGATCAGCTGCCTGCTGACCACCAGACAACATGCGAGTGTGAGCAACTTCAGCTTTTAGATGTAGAGAAGACGGACACGTTTAGTTCAACAGTCATCTGATGCAGGTCTTTAACTTCACAGGCTGACAGAAAGGTGTGACCAGAATTAGAAAAAGCTTCACAATGACATCACTCAAAGGGAAGCCACATGGTGACCCAGAGACTGGTTGTAAAACCTCATCCCAGACAAGAAAAACTACAATTTTAATTCCTCTGAGACATAAATTAAACGTGACCCGTTAAAATTTGGGATGGAATCAATCTGATGAAAGAGATTTGTAAAGAAACTCGTTTCTACCTTATCAGACACAGAAGTTTTCAATATCCTAACATGTAAAAAGCAAATGTTTTCCATAAAGTGTTTTTGTGTAAAATCCGCCAGAATCAAAGTACTAGCCAGGAAAAAAGAAGAACAGGGGAAGCAGCGTGAGAGAAAATACAGGATCCGTGTGCTTGGCCGAGCAGCTGAAAGCTTCCAGACATCAGAGGCCAGAGCACATGGACTAATGACGGATCACAACTACACAAAGCTCTAATGTCGAATGTTAGACACAAACTATAAAACCGACCACTTCCAGTGAAATGTTTAAAATGAAAGAAGGCGTGATCAGCAGAGAGCCGAAGTTTATATGAAAGCATCCTGATTAGAGAGAATAAGAGAAACTGTTGATCTACAGGAGCTCCTCCATCCCACGGCTACGAACCATGATTCTGGTGGAGCTGAAAAGTGAGCTGGCCCGATAGAGAGATGCATCATCCCACCACACTTGTGCACTACTGCTGTCTGCTTAGCAGCTCAGTCCTAATTCACATCCCATGTTTTAAGCCAAACCACTGAACACGAGCCATTAAAATCATGTCTAAAAGGAGTGTGCTAAATGTTGTCCGAACTCAGATGTTTACATGTACACAACAGGTCTCTTTAACGAACAAAACAGGCCATAAATGGTGATGACAAGTGTATTTAGCTTCCCGGCTAACTCCAGCTAGCTAACCATCCGCAGTGGTTCATGGAACGGGTTCTCTTTCTAGCCAAGACGGGTTTAACTAACTGGGTCTTTTCTCAAGAAGTACTCTCGTTTATTAATCAAATAAAACTTTCTAGTGAGACGAACCACGACTCAGCCTAACCCAGTTACCTTGTAGAAGGCCCCGTTCGAGCCGCGAACCTCCACGGCGAGCCCGTCCATGCTCGTCTGTAGATCCCCACGGTTGTGTTTCTCTGCGACTCCCTGCGAGTCCGCTACCGCGATCACCCCCAGCTTCGCCGGCCCTTCGCCGCTGTCCGGCCGCTTGTGGATGTCCAGTGTTTCGGGTGAGTGATGAAAAGATAGGGGCAGAGAGGTGGAAGGGGTTTGGGGTGGGGGGGTTGGGTGTGATGGTGTCTGAACCAACGCAACTCTCTCTCAGGCGGTCAGATATGGAGGAACGTTACCCGTTTTTGTCTGGAATTCTGGAGCTCGTGACCAAAACGGCACCACCTCTACAGCAGCCGGGGTGCTAGAGAACCACCGGGCTAACGACGCTACAGCGGAAAGACGCGAGCTGATGGGTAATTAGTATCAACACCCAGATCCCCGTCAGGGAGGCTAGTAGCAGGCTAGTATCGGCTAGCCTGGCTGCGTTTGTTGCTTGTGCGTGTGGCGCAGACGCTGCGTTGAATGATGTTCTCGGAAGTCGTCAGCGGGGGTAGTCTTCTTCAGCTAGTAATGCAAATTTCAGCAGTGTCTCGTTAACGGAAAAAAAGCGTTCACAACGCACCACTTGCCCGGCAACTTGTTCCACCAACCACCCGACCCCACAAACACACGCTGATCGAGTGAATCAGGGAGGGACTGAATGACCTCGAACAACACACCCCTCAGACTAGAACCCGCCCCTTTAAGAAACGTCAGGTTTACGATTGGCTGAAGACCTCGACATCACCTTTTTGCTGATTTTAATTGGTCGAGCAAATAAGGGTTGGTCTTTCATTGTGACCAATGAGAAACGAGCAGTTGTATTTGAACACAGCTCATTGGTTGCCTTTTCTGTCGATTATAACTTTACCAGCACTGACTGGGCCCTTATTAAACGGTGCTCTCATTGATTAGTGAGAAACACTCCAGTAAGTGTGTAAACAGGCTTCTAGTTACTCCAACATGCCAAAACACAGCTGCAAAGAAGTCTTTACTCTGATATTTGTACTGTAAATATAAAATACCTTGCAAACCATGTTTTGTTCTCTACAAAAGTTTAAAAAAGAGTGAAAAAATTAGGTATTTTTGTACAAGTCACAATTCATTTATGTTTAACTTCAAGTTCATAATTAATAAAATCATTTTGAGTTCAGTTTTGGTCAATCTATTCACAGTCATCAATCACAGGCGTAAATATAATCAGAGATACTTCCTATAAAGCCAGGGTTCATGACAAGGAGGGTTTCTTAATATTTCTGACAAAGAAACCAGTTTATGCGAAAGTGTAGGTGCTAAAGTCTCATGAAAAGACGAATCCTCAAAAACTGATGACTCACAACTAAAATATCTCAAATGTACAGAAACACTGGGGCTGGGGTTTTCGGGGAAGTGCCTGTTAAGTGAACAGAATAGTCATTAACAGTTAAAATGTAGATGAGAGAAAACAGCAAACACTGAACATCTGTTCACTTTTGCTTTATTTTTTCAACCTTTTTGTTGTTATTAATGCTGTAAAAACAACAAAGAGCTTAAGGTTTTAAAATTAACACAAGTTCAGAGTTTACAGTTTATTTATTCGTTTTATTTTGATGAAAAGTCGAGCCCATGAGGCTACCACTGTAACTAGGGTAACGAGGAGCAGCTTTAGGTGGCTGGCTTTGCTCCCAACAGGGAAGTGCCAAAAATTGGAATTCTACGCTCATCCGCTAGGGGCTGGCTCCAAAACAGAGCAAGCTCCCATGTGAAAAATGTCAACTTCACGGCAGAATTAAACAGCCTGTTTAAAAAAAAAACATTTTAGGTTTAATAGAAGAAAAGATCATTCTATAGCGCCTCTCAAGATGAAAATCTCAAGGCGCTTCACAAAAACAAAAAATGTAAAAATATAAAAAAGAATTTACAAAATGATTAAAAATATATTTATAATGAGCAAAAAAAGACAATTGTGATTAAAAAATGTAAAGAAAGAGAGAGTGACTAGGAAAGAGGGAAATCAGTGGCTAGTTAAATATTTCTAGTTTACACTCATGACAACTCTGATGGAGGTGAATTCGTATGTAACTCTTCCATTTAAGTGTAATTAATTTGCTTGAAATTATGAATAACTAATGACCACCAGAGCCTCGGGGAAAGGCCTCAGCCTGGGCCTCACATTAATAGATGTTCTGACCGAGGCTCTGCGGTCAAAGATTTGCGAGGCCGCCGCTGCAGAGAGGTTTGTCGGGTTTCTGTACCGTGCCTCTCCCTTTCACAGTGGCAGTCCTGCGATCAGAGATGTGATAATCTGCCGCTTCATTCTTCAGAGTCAGCGCAGTGAGGCGAATGCACCGCTTCTCCTTCGCTGCACTGGGAACAGCTACTTCACGCAGGCAGCGCGCCCCCGTCTCCCGAGGGGACCGGGGAGTGCCGCAGCATCCGCTTGGCTTCCATTACAGGCTGTAGTTATACTGCCTGCTGGTGGAGCTCTCCGGGGGAGATTATAGAAACACCACTGCTCTTTCAGTTGATTTTGGAGTCGCTTTAAAGCGTTCCTCTTGCTAACAGTACCCGGAAAACCTCTATTAGCTTGAGTTAGCATGTAGCCTATCTCCCGCTGGTCTCCAACCAGCTCCGATCGAGGTGGAGCATGACCTCACATAAGCGGCCAGGGAGAAGCGGTCTGTGAATCTGCTTGTATTTTAACAGTCCATATTATTATTATTATTATATTATAGCTTCACAGGCAATTAGCACGATTACAGCTTCGCACAGAAGTTTTCGGGTTAACTAAGCTAAGCTAGTAGCTACATTTGGTTCATTTGTTCCAACCCTAACAGCCCCACCTTCAGCTCCACCCCTTTCTCCATTTTTGGATTGTCGGAGCGTGACGAGCTCATTGACACAGTCAAAATGGCGGTGGCGGGAACCTCCTATTTTCCATCGCTATTTTCTCTAAAAACTATGGAGATGATTT